TTATCAACGACCACGTAGTTGATTCTTCGATCGGGTCGACCACATGACGTGATCTGTCAAACCGCTGATCACCACCAGTCGTCGTTAACTGGGGTCCTACTCCTAACTTTGCATTTGCCTTTGACGCGTCTCCAAGGGACGATTCCCCCACACAACGACACCAATTTATTTTCTGTGGGGACTTTGTTTTATTAATTAATTGCAATATATATATATATATATATATATATTATTAATTTGTTTACTCCGATTTACGTACGAACGTCGCAGTTGGGGAAATAGAGAGAAAAAATGTCGGTATCTTATAAGCCTTTGACAGCTTTCATCAATATATATATCATCGGAGAGATAGAGTTAGGTTCTGTTTCAATTATAAGTTTATAGCTTTTTTCTTTTTGTCTCTTCCTCTTCCATTGTTTTTTTTTTAAGAATGGAACAATTATACAAAGTAACTGTTGTTCAATATGTTATATAGTTCTTATTTTTTATTATTAAAACACTGGATCTAATACCCTATTATTAAACTGTATTGTAAAACAGTCAAAGTAGTCGTATCTACATAAGCATAATATTATCTTTTTTTTTTTTTATATAAGTATAATATTATCACTTGTTGCTTTGCACAAATTATGGAGTATATTATATAGATTTTTATTATTATTGTTGTTGTTGTTGATGTTGTCACAATTATGAGTCTATAATAATAGCCATAACAAGACCTCAAGAGTCATCACGATTAGATATTTTATCCATTAAGCTAAACCGGACGTACCCACATGGGTAGGGCCATAATGTTGTGTTGTCTTCCTCCCCTGCCTCCTTCGTTCGTTTCTCCCCAATTTTTTGTTTTATTTATTTCCATTGAGCTTTTTTTATTTGATTTTTTTCTTATATATATTGTTTACTTGATATATTATAATGGGAATTCAAAAATAGAGGGAGACAAAATATAAAGAGTGGAGCTCTCTAGATAAAACGATTCCACTTTTTCTTATCAAAAAATTGATTCCACGTCTGCATTAAAAAATGAATTTGTACATAAATTAGTGGATTCATTGCTAGCCTCCACGATATATAGCTTAACACCACTATAAAAAAATTGTTTTGTGTTGATGATGAATAATAATACACTAATATACTATGCCACGCAGTTACGTGACATTGTATATATTCATACTGTCACAATCGATATGTATAATTAAGCTTCTTTTTTTTTTTAATGAAGATCTAATATGTTTTGGCTATACTTATTATAATCGGAGTTAGTAATAATTCTAGAGTGTTAAATTATGGGCATGGTAATGCATGCATGTCACAGGGCATGTGAGGTGGTGGTATCACGCAATACGCAAATTCATTAAAGAGATTTATTCCTTTGATTAGGACTGCAAAACTATGTTTTATAATTTAATTTAATCTTATTTGTATAGTATCCTTTCATGCGTTCAAAGGAGAATTTCATGCGTTCACATTTTATTTCAATAATAAGTATATGTTTTGAATTGTGTTAATGAAATGGTAGTATAGTAACCTCCTCCACTGACTCAAGAAAGATTCATCATGCGTAACGTTAGACCAAGGGCATTAGCGTATGAGAAAATTATATGGGTTGCCATGAACAGTGACTAAAGTTGTGTGGAGTGCCACATTTTAGTTGAACTTCTCCCTGTTGCCACATGGCCTTATGAAAAAGACTGTTTTGCCCTTCTCCAGCTATTAGTGCACAATTTCCCACTTTCATCTTTTTCTCTCTCTTGTGAAAAGAACAAAGGTTTGTCTGATGGATAACCAGTTGACAGTTTCCAATTTTTTTGTTAGACAAATTATTCAGCCACCATCTACCACAGAATCGATCCCTTTCCCTAGCCTAAGAGTAAACATTTGATAGACAAGATCCATCCATCATGATGTCCATTAATGGTTATATCTTTTATACTAACTTGTCCTTTATGTATGTTTGTCCTTAGTATCAGATTCTCTACTAAACTCATCCTTGGACTCAAAGCCATGTCAAAAAAATGTCCATCGAACTCCGTCAAATTAATGAAAATGTCCATCGTCCACAACACTTCCCATCACACTTCCCAAATCCTAATCGATAAGTTTTCTTCTAGAATATTTTTTTGATGGACCAGATTCAATAGACTAAAATATGTATTATTTTCGATGGACTAGATTCAATAGACTATATAATGTCCACTAGATCTAGCGAAAATGATGGACAACACATGTCCGGTCCATTTTTGCATATTCGAATTCTCGATTGTCCATTTGTGTAATTTTACTAATAGATTAGCGGCGAAGATCAAATATGTATTATTCTCGGTGGACTAGATCGATTATCTTGTCCATTATCTTGTCCATATCAACTGAAAATGATAGACAACACATATTCACTGGTTATGCTTATCCTCAAGAGTTATCCTATCTAATAGACAATATATAAATGGACCAGATAAAGTGAAAAATGTCCACTGGTTATGCTTTGTGTCTCTGCCGCAAAATTGTCCACCATTGATGCTTTTCCTATTTCATTTCATGAAATTGTCTACGTTATTTTGTCCTCCATTAATCCATCTTAGATCTAGATTTTAGCTTTTGTTTTAATTTATAATAAGCCATTAATTTAAACTAAAATACGCTAGATATTTGCCTTCTCCTTTGACATTTAATGCTCTTTTTATGTCAGAAAAAGCTGTGCCAAAACAACTCAATTAGGCGGGGGTAGTTTCGTCCATTTGCTCCATGCTTTTTCACTAGATGTGGCACTCTGCAGAAGACTTATACCAAAATGGCAGTTCCAATTTTTTTGTTAGTCAAACTGGCACAATAGATAATAATCCCTTAGCGTATCCCCCCTTCGTCCTTCTGTTTTTTTTTAAAAAAATTAAATCAAAAAGAAGAAAAAAAGGTGGGTCGACAACAAAAACGGGACGGTCCCGTTTTCTTTTCTTCAAAAATCGCGGGCCCCACTGACACGTGGCGGCCCGCGATTGGTTACATTCTTTTTTTTTTTTGTTTAATTCAAAAAATTTGGAAAAGAAAAAAAAAAAATTAAAAAAAAGTATGGGGGGACGACCAAACCGATGTGCATGCCCTTAGAAACTGAAGGAGAGTCCCCTACAAGAAAGGTATCAAAATAAGCTCAAGGGGTTTGATCCACGGCATATACCAAGTTTCTCTAACGTGGGAATATCTCATAGAGACTGGCATTTTCGTCTGATCATTTAACCCAGTGAAAGAATATGCTTAAAGATATGCTCTTATATAATTTCAAAAAATAATAATAATATTCATGTTTACCTTGTGTGTTTTGCTTTCTCTTTTTTTTTTTTATAAGATTCTAATATGTAAAAAAAGAAAAAAAAAGATTCCAATATGTAGTTGGGGCAGACAAAGAATAAATATATACTGAGATTATATGCTGGAAAAATTGGGTTTTCTTTGCAAAATGTGAAAAAGTGATGTTGATATAGGAATATAGAAAAGTGGGGAATTCTGGGAAATAGAAGAGAAACGTACCTAACTAGATTACCGTACATCGTTTCTTTTTTGCTCTTCTTTCTTACTCACACCGTACATCTCTTTTGTACGCATCAAAAGTCATGAGAGTGATAATAAAAGTCATGCACTCTTACGAAAAGTATGCGCACTTAACTGTTTTTTTCAGATGGGTGGAGCGTTATATCAAAGACACCATAGATTTAGGGATCTGCATGTTAACTAATTATTTATTTTTAAAAATGTTAATTACTGGATTAACATATAGTATCAAAAAATCTTCAATGATTCTATTAGATAAAGAATAAAAATGAACGGTGACCAAAAAAAAAAAAAGAATAAAAATGAACATTAATTAAAAACATTATTACACTGAATTATTAAAACATATTGAAAACCCCTAATAGGTAAACTGACGCATCATGATTTTTGCTAATTAATTTTATTTTGTCACATTTTAAAAAAAAAGTATCTATAAAAAATCCGTATTCAAATCAAGTTGATAAAATTTGAGACAACTTGTCACATGGCAATAAGCCAATAACAATGAAATATAAAACAAAAATCATTTAGGCCTCGATTGGTAACCATGATTTAGGAAAAAAATAAGAAGGAATGTGACATTGCTCTTCATTCCTCAATTTTTTTACCATTTACAAGGAATCATTTTTCCACATCATTCCTCTACATTCCTCACAAAATGAGGAACAATAGAACAAAAATGTTCCTCCCCAAAATTGATGAGGAACAAATGGAACAAAAAAAAACAAATATTAAAATTCGTTTTTTATTTTAAAATAAATAAAAAATTATTTATTAATAATATTTTAATCTCATAATATAATATTTTCATATTTTTATCATGTATTGACATTAAAAAATATTTTTGATATGAATTTCATGTTAAAAAATCTTACTATACATTATTTAAAATTTGTATGGATAGTAAAACATATTTAAGAGATGTTTACATCATAAATAACAAATAAAAAATTACTATAATCTATAATAGGTTAATATAAATTATTAATTTTTAACATTAAATATTTAATTCATTCAAAAATATATTTTAAAATTAGTGTCAAATTCATTATATATAAATTATATCTAGTATTATTATTAAAAGTTGATTTATTTAATCAAATATATTATAAAAGATAGTGTTATTGTTTGGTTACCATTTATTATTTTGTTCTTCTCTGCATATTTTCCTTTCATTCCTCAAAAGTTGTTTATTCCGTTCCGTATTATTCTTTTTGTTCTTTTTCCTTTTGTTCCTTTAATGGTTACCAGTAGAAGCCTTAAATTCATCTGAATATATTGTATTTTGATAATCATTTAAAGCGATATGGTTTCTCTCCGCATGTATCTCAACGACAATTTTCATCGCTTTCAAAATTAATGGCAAAATAATATGTGAAAAGATTAGATTAGGGATAATAAAGCATGATACATAGAAACTTATTTTTATTGATAAGAAAAAGTAGGAAAAAAAGAGAGAGTACAACTCTGCATTCTCACATCCTTTTACACACCCACATGGAAAAAAAAACCCGTAAAAGGCGGAAAAAGATCGTTATCCTCTACATTACCCGTCTACCCCTAATTTAAACAAAAAAAAGACTTTATCAAAAAGCCAACAAAAAAAAAAAGAGAAAAGAAAAAAAAAAACTCATTGCCAAACTCAAATAGAAGAAGCCGCCACACCAAAGCTTGGCGCATCAACCTCCTTCTTCTTATTCAGCTCCTTTTTTTTTTTTTTATAATGCGTTTTTCCAGAGTCTTCTTAGGTACGGTAGGTAGGTAGGTAGGCAGGCGGAATCTACAATGGCCCAAAGCCAACATTTACATAAGCCGATAGACAGAAGACACACACACACACAACGAAACTTCTCTCCCCATGCTTGTTGTTAGATAAGGAACAACCCGATGATGATGATAAGCTATCACACTTTTATTTATTCGAGAGATAGAGAGAGAGAGAATCTTTTAGATGAATCTCTCCTCTGCTTCTCCTGCCCTTTGAATCCATGGGTGCCCTGCATTTTCATATTAATCTAATTAGTTTACTCTTTTTTTTTTAACTGCTAATACGGATCTATGAGGTCAAACATCAAAATATGGGACACAAGAAATCAAAATAATTAAATGCAAACAGATCTCATGGATTTGGAATCTTACTCAGTGCTTGTTCCGCTGACAATCTTCTAGAACCATCTTTGCATATCAGCTTCCTTAAGAAATCTTTTGCCATCGACGATACTCCCCTGAATATCTTCGTCGGGAATCGGAGGTTACCCCTCAGCACCGCTTCGAATATCTCTTCCGCCGTCTCTCCGTAGAACGGCGGTGTCCCGGCGAGCATCGTGTACAGAACGACTCCGGCGCTCCACAGATCGACCTTCTCCCCGTACGAGTATCCCATCAGAACCTCCGGCGCCACGTAATACGGCGTTCCGACGACTCCTTCCGTCGTCTCCCCCTCGCCTAGCCAAATCCCCGAACCGAAGTCGCAGATCTTAACCGTATCGTTTCGTAGATCTACCAAAATGTTCTCCGGTTTGATGTCCCTGTGAACGACGCCGTATCGGTGACAATGCGCAAGCGCCTGGAGAATCTGTTTGGCGAACGACGCCGTCTGAGACTCAGAGAAGGTTCCAGAAGAGACCAGACGGTCGTAGATCGAAACGGAGGGATCAACGAGCTCCATGAAAATGGAGAGAGTCGAGTCAGTGTCGATGAGATCGTGGATTTGAACGATGTTTGGGTGGTAGGACAAGAGAGCCATGAGCTTAGGCTCGTTGTCGATGCAGGCACGGTCAAGGTCGTCGGAGAGAGAGGCCTTGTCGATGGTTTTACATGCGAAGAAATCACCGGTGGCCGGAGCGTAGACGCGAGTGACGGTGCCGAAGCGTCCACGGCCGATCTCCTCGCAGATCTGGTATTTGTTGGCGTTGGCGTTGTTTCCGACTGTTTGGCTGCAAGTCATAATATCACTCTCTGTTGAATTATTAATTTTGTTTGTTAGGTTGTTGTGTGAGTTAAGAAGAGCTCTTCGACTCGGCTCTACCTTTTTTATAGCCTAATTCTTCAGAATATTCCTTTTGATGCCTACATGTTTTTTTTTTTTTTTTTTTTTTTCGGTTTTCCTTTATATCTTCCGTTTTTTTTTTTTACAAAAAAAATTCTTATTTGTATTAATAATAGGATTTTAGATATTATTTGCGAATCCAAATCTGTTTTTTTATTTGGATTTTACCTCGAGAATATCTGTATGTATTTTTTAAAAATAACATATTTATGTCTGCAGTTTTAGTTTTGTAAGTTTATTTATATCCAATCTCAATCTAACTATTTTACTTTCTAAAATGCATGCTATTTGCAAATTATGTTGACTGATAAAAAAAAAAAATAGTATTTGCAAAATATACACAAACTTATTATATAAAAAAAACACACACACATTCTAAAAGGATATTGACTCAATCTTTACGAGACCTAAGCTTGTATCAGTTTTTCTATTATTGGACCAAATCAACTCTTCTCGCATTACAGTCTATATTCTGCTCATTATTCAAAGAAAATGAATCTTATGTATGTCAACATCCCCCGATATAATATTCATATACCAATGACCTTGAAAGTAAATTAACAACTATATGATATGATTCACACTATACTATAGTGCTAAGTAATACCATCATCATATAACATCATCACTATAAATAAACAATTTTATTATGCTACTGATGGAATACTGTGATTCATGTGTTTTCCTACCTGCCTTTGCTGTCTTGTTTCGGTATTGCGTCATCGCCCTCATTAGCAATTTAACTCATCGTAAAATCAAAACTGCATTTTCAGGCAACATCCATTGCAAAATAAGCCTCTCAAAAGTGGTGTAAATGCCTATATGCTACATCCGGCCCACGAAAACAAACTAAGGAAAATAAAAAGTAAAACCATGCGACCTTGGCCCGATAATCCTGTTGGGCTGAAATTAGGCCCTAAAAAGTTGTAAATAAAAAAAGTAGAGAATTGGCAGATGAGTAGATGACGATCTTTTAGCATAAGTCCGGGTCAAACTCGTTCACGATGGGACTCGAACCCACAATCTCCCGCTCCGGAGGCGAGCGCCTTATCCATTAGGCCACGCGAACCAACTGCTCTGTTTAGGCTTAGAGCCGCTATTTAATATTTTTAATTACACATTCACTTTTAATTTGCCTTTTTGCCCTACACAGCTCTGCCATGGCTCTCGCACTATCTACTTCGGTGTCCTCCTGCTCCATCATGGCTTTCTCAATATCCAACGCGCTTCGTTGCCCTCATCCTCAAATTGCTCAAAGGAACTCTCTTTATACTCTTCGCACTCCCAAGTCGCCTTCTTTTCTCAGGTACTTTCTCTTTCCCTTGATGCTGCTACCTCTTTTCTTGTTTTCTTCGGTGGCTTTATCATTGAAGAAAGAACATCGTTTGCTAGTTTCTTTTGTTTTACTTGGGATATTATCAACTTGCGATTTTTTGGAAAAAAACAAACCCTCATCTTGTCATTCATAAAGCACCTGTCAATTGAATTCGGCTTGAATTTTGAATGAGCTTCTTCTTACAGTTGGCTACAAAGTTTACAACTTTTAATTGCAATTACTAGGGTTGCATTGTTGTGCTCAATCCCGTTCAGACATGTAGTCATTGTAATGAAGATGTTTGAATTTTTTCAGGCTTCCCCAGGGGAGATTGTTGCAGAACAGGATTGTTATACGTGCTGCTTCATCTGCGGCTGGAAGTCCACAGTCTGATGCTGAATTTAACCCATATGAGGTCATTGATCTCTAGAGTCCTAGAAAGGACTTGTTTTTTTTTGGTCACCTTGTTTTATTCTGCAGTCCTCAAGACATGAGTGCATACCTTCTCAGGTTCTTGGTGTTAACCCTATTGAGGGATTTGACAAGATCAAGCAAACTTATGGAAGAAAACTTAAAGATGCTCAGAGGAGCGGTGATGAAGCCACTGTTGCTCTAGTAGGTTACCTCTCTCTTTCTCTGGAGTCCGGTTTAAGTATTGATTTCTCTTTGTTTCTTGTTAACACGTTTCTATTTAACTTTTTGATAGCTTGAGAAAGCATATGATAAGCTCATGTATGCCCAGTTAATGAATAGGAAAAAAGGTGTGACTTTCGGTTCGTTCAAGGTATGTATTCTTATGCCCTCCCTCTTGCCGTCTTGGACTCTATTTACTATCTTTCATAATCATTTGTGAATTTCTCGTAATTCAGGTTTCCAAGGATATTAAATATGCTGATAAGCAGCCTATCATACCATGGGGTCCTAGGTAAAGATTCTTTATGAGAGTACTCAAACTTCAAACATGTGTTATATTGCTAATCATGATTTGTTGATTGTTCCAGGTTTTCCAAGTCACCCAAAAATGATATGTTGATCAACCTAGCAATATCAGTTGTGTTTGTAAGTATTTAAGGAAATTCAGGTTTGAGGGTCATTTTGCTACTTAAAAATGTCAATTTTGTTACTCTATCTCAGTAGCCTTTATGAATTCAAGACTTCATGCTTTAGTTCAAATGACTGGTTTCTTTCAAAAAAAGTGGTCCGTTTCTCACACATGTATGCATATATGACATTAACGGATCTCACTACTAGATATGAATCTCTCTCACTTTCTCTGTTTCTTTCTTTTTGCAGAGTGCATGGATTGCGATAAAACGTAATGTTGAATACAAACCACTGCAGTTCATGTCTTTTGCATTTGTTTACAGAATTTTTGAGAAATTGAAATCCTTTGAAGCACCTTCGACTCCAATATATAACGTGAGTTTGAAAAAAATGTAACCCTTTTTTTCTAATGTCGGTACACCTGGTAACTCTTCTAGTCCTGGTGAGTATTGATGTTTGATACTAACTGCAGGAGGAAGGCGAAGAAAGTGGACGAGGATTGAGAATGGGAAAGAGGCTTCTACGTTCGCTTTCACTAGTTTTCGGCTCTATACTTGTGGCATCTTTGGTATGTATATCCATCAAGACTCCACTATTTAAAAGAATATGTTTTATGTTGTCCTATCTGGTAATGGTTGAATTTTACTAAAAGAAACAGCATATGTGATAGAAATACAATCCTTAGTGTCAAAGCATTATTTTTTCGGATCTTCCTGATTATTGGACCTAGTTATTAGATTATTTTAATTGTATTGTAGGAAAGATCTTTTAATTGTACTCGACGATTAACTCATAGTGAATCATGCTTTGCAGGCCTACACCGGATTCTTAAATGTCATCGAGTACATGGGCAACTCCATACCCATGGTTCTTTACAATAACCAGGTTGGTCTTCTTGCCTAGCCCCCTATCCCACACAAAATGATCATTTTGGTCAAAATTGATTTAGGATATTTTTGGTCAATTACTGGCTAAGCCTCAACAAACAGCACTAGTTGATGACTAATGCCGTTTATTTGAAATATAATGGACTTGTCACATCCATAGGCATCAGAGTATGTGTACTTCTACTTAGATGCACAAGTTTTAGTTATGGATTGTGAACACGTACGTTGGATATGTGTTGCCACAATTGCTGAACCAGGCAGGATTAAATAAAGAGAAGGGTCTAGTCTCGAATTAAAATAGTTCGAGTAGTGACAACTGTCAACCAGGCTTTTGGTGTTGTAACAAGAACTGAAACAACAGTGTGCTGACGTTGATATTGGGTTGCAGGAACTTATAGTGACGGCGTCATCAGCTTTCATGCTCTATGTTATATCGTCGTATTACAGATAATGCGAGAGAGTCCAGTTGAGAGTTAATCTACTTGAAGCGTTTGGAGAAGTTATGCTGGATAGCCTGCGACTGTGAGATGTTACCAGTTGAGATGAAATAGTTTTTAAGTTCAATGGAGAGATGGGGTTATCTTAATAATATTTTTGTGTGGAAAAATCAGGTAAATTTTAGCAAGAGAGAAAATTCCTTAGAATCTTAAGTCATCTCTGTGTACTTTGAATGCTGAGGATCGTATGTTGAAGTCTGCTTATTAATAAAACTTTTCTGTTTGAGCAAAGCTTTGTTTGAGAGCTCAAAAGTTTGTATCAAAATCTATAACTAGACTGCTTTAGTATACATCTATAAAGAGAGAAAAATCATCAGAATGAATGTCAGGTAAGGTGGCTAGACTGCTTTCGGTCGTCATCAAAGACTCCTCAAAAGTGTCATTAACTCTTCTTACCTTTACGTATGCAAATTGGTGTGGCTCCGATAGGAAAATATAGGGAAATAAATCGGATAGAGACAGAGACGCCACGATTCACGAATTGTGAGTAGCATTGACACGTTGGAGCTGACTCTGTCTCCATATCTCTTACTATCTATAAATAGAGAAAAGAGAGAGAGAGATGAAGGATACGTATCATAGTTACAGCTGCTCTCCACACTATATAAATAAAAAGATGGAGTAGACAGACACTTTGAAAAGTACATTTGAGTTCCGTCTTCGACTTCATCATCGCCTGTTTTTACATAACCAAAGTGGTACGTTCCCTAATATGCTCTCTCATGTACCATCTTCCTCTTCTTCTTCCTTCTTTTGATAAAATAAACAAACTTCAAAAACCCACCTTCTTAGAATTAATGTGGTAAACCAGATTTATAGATGCTGACGTACCTCTTAACTGGTGCTTCAGATGATTGTGAAAATGATGAATCAACAACTGTAACAACAACAACAAAAAAAATAAACACTTTTTTCTCTCGCTTTCTTTTCATACCAAAAAATTAAAAAGAATTATTAAGGGAAAAGCTATATTTGGTAGTATGGAACGTTTTTGTAAGAATTTTTTTCATTATTGTGTTGGCTAAATTTAAATTTTGGTAGTATATAAATATAATTGACCTATATATATATATGCATTTATAAATGATATGATGGTTAATTAGTGGGAGTTAAGAGGTCACAGTTAAGGGGTGTATTCAAAATAGTATTTTAAGAGATTTGAGTTTTATTGAGATTTTAATGATTTTAGGGAATTTCATATGATTTATGTAAAATTCTTTCAAATCCCACCTAAAACTATGAGATTTGGATTCTTGTATTTTTAACTAAAGAAGTTCCCTGAAATCCTTTGAAATCCCCTGAAATCCTTTGAAATCCTCTGAAATTATTTAAAATGAAATCCACCAACTGTTTTCAATAACAGTGGATTTTAAAATGATTAGTTCAATAACACTGGATTTCATGAGACTTTTTAAAATTCATGATTGAATAACACCGGATTTGTAAACTCTTTACAAATCACTTGAAATTCCACTTTGAATATACTTAAGTGTATGAAGAAGGTATGTTTTTACAATATCTCTCTCGAGTCTCATGTGTGTATTTGTCTTGATAGTGTTGATTTCTAGCTAACACTTGTACGTGCTAGCTACCTTCATACACTACTAATTTAACGGTGATGTTCAGTATAATTTGTTTAAAATTGGGAATTTATGAATACGAGTAGTAATACTTTTGGTTCGTCGATGAGCACGAGAGAATGAATAATAAGAAGACAGCAATCTCGTGAATTGCGTTTGCCATTGGACACGTATGTTTCCGATGTTCAGCTTCATCCTTTTCTCGTGAACATTACATTTTTTGCTTTATAAAACAAGGGTTATGGTTTCTTTGTCCTTATCAAACCAAACAAAAAAGGTTTTGTCGTTGTCAAATAATTTTTGGGGTTTCTTTATTTCCAAGGCTTCAATGACAACGGTTAGTAATTTCTATGGCGTTCATGATAGCCAACGTTGGTGGCCTAACTATGTCTCAAGGCTCAAACCAACCTCACGTTAATTATCCACGCGTCACGCACGTATTCCACCTTTCTTTGCATCTCAAACTTATACTATTATAAAGACTCTTTATAGTAAAGTAAGAATCTTTAGCAGCTGTTGTTGAGACGACAAAGGTTCTAGTTTCTTCAACATTCTTGTAATCTTTTTCTTATTCCACAACGAATTTTGAATCTCTCTCATACACACTATATAGAATCTAGAATCTACAATAGTAGAATCTTTCTCTGCCATTTTGAAGGAACATCCTAATCGATCTGAAGAAATTTTTATTAACTTTAGCTTTCATGTTTTTTTTTTGTTCTAACTATAATGATTCTTATAATGTGTTAATTTGATGTCAGGTCACAACAAGCTTATTTAAAGAAACTTTGAATTGGAATACGTAGTAAGAAACAAGAGCATCCTCCTTCAGTTTGTAGAGGTACGTACTCATTTGGATTAAACTTATTTTAGATAAACATGTGTTACTCATGAGCACCATTCTCATGTCTCAACAGACTCAACACCATATTTTATTCTTGTATTTTTTTTTTAATACTTTTTCTGATATTCTCCTCATTCTGTTTTGTCTAATATTAAAAAAACAGAGTAATTTGTGAGATAGACATAATTAATCTGTTTTCTTAAGATCTAATATGTATGTATGTATAACAATCAATTCTCATTTTATAGGTAAATTTTGGTTGTAAAAGAAATATGGTGATGAGAAGTGTAGATCTACGATCAGATACGGTGACTAGGCCGACCGATGCGATGCGAGAAGCAATGTGTAACGCTGAGGTGGATGATGACGTCCTAGGCTACGACCCAACGGCTAGACGTCTTGAAGATGAGATGGCCAAGATGATGGGGAAAGAGGCTGGTCTCTTCGTGCCATCAGGGACTATGGGGAATCTGATCAGCGTGATGGTTCACTGCGATGTGAGAGGCAGCGAGGTCATTCTTGGAGACAATTGTCACATCCATGTTTACGAGAACGGAGGCATTTCCACCATCGGAGGGGTGCATCCCAAGACCATCAAGAATGAACCAGACGGGACCATGGACTTGGCCGCCATTGAAGCTGCCATCAGAGATCCTAAAGGAAGCACCTTTTATCCATCCACGAGGTTGATTTGCTTGGAGAACACTCATGCCAAGTAAGTGCTCTCGCCATAGTAGCTTAGCTAGTATGAAAACAAGTATTAATTTAGTGTCTTCTCTTATACAGCTGTGGTGGGAGATGTTTGAGCGTGGAGTACATTGAGAGAGTTGGAGAGATTGCCAAGAGACATGGTGTGAAGCTCCATATCGACGGAGCCCGTCTTTTCAATGCCTCTATCGTAATTATCAATCATCTTTATTCTTTTCCATTTGTAAATCCATTACAAGTCTCAATAATGGATTTATTTCTTGTTGTTGTAGGCACTTGGAGTCCCAGTTCATAGGCTTGTGAAGGCTGCTGACTCTGTTTCGGTGCCATTTCCTTTCTTCTTTTTCTTTAATATGTGAAAAAGTTTAGCTGGAAGATGATCGAGAGAGACTCACCCACACACACACTCTGTTTCAGGTGTGTCTCTCTAAAGGCCTTGGAGCTCCGATAGGATCTGTAATTGTTGGTTCGCAAAGCTTCATAGAGAAGGCGAAAACTGTAAGGAAAGCATTAGGTGGAGGAATGAGACAAATAGGTGTTCTGTGCGCAGCCGCTTTGGTTGCAATTCAAGAGAACCTTCCAAAGCTACAACATGACCACAAGAAGACCAAGTTGTTAGCTGGTACCCCTACGCACCACTCATTTTAAAACCTAATAACCTATCAAGTGCCAAAAAGAACCTCATAACATATATATATATATATATTTGCAGAAGGGTTGAATCAAGTGAAAGGGATTAGAGTAAATGTTGCAGCCGTGGAGACCAATATGGTGCGTATTATTATCACAGTCATTATTATTCAAAGATTTTTAATTGAAATAGTGGCGTAGCCATCTCAAACTATAGACAAAGTTACGTAACTAGTAATCAGGAAAAAGTGCTATACTGTATATGTTTTTTTTTGAACTGTATATGTTTAACTGTATATGTACTGTACTGTATACGTAACTGTATATGTTTAATCTTAAGTATGGCCTCTAAATTCAGATATTCATGGATATGGAGGATGGTTCAAGACTTACAGCTGAGAAACTGCGCAAGACTCTAGAGGAGAATGGCATTCTTGTTATCCCTGAAAACTCATCCCGGTATGTTTTGGCATTAGTCTTTACATGCAAAACTCATTTCATAACGTAAACATTAAACTATGATACATATGTTGACTTAAAAAGAAAACTATATATTATATGTAGTTACTGTAAACGTGAGCATGTATTATAATCTAGAATAATTAAACATTCTTTTGTTTTATTTTATTAAAGTCTGTCTGTCTGTTTGACTCAAATAACTAATGATTACATGTGGATTGTGGTTTCAGGATCAGAATGGTTATACATCACCAGATAACAACAAGTGATGTGCATTACACATTGTCTTGCTTACAGGTAAGAATATTCATATTTCTCAACTATACTTTCTTACTTTATAATCTAAATTATATATTACAGTTAAACAATTTTATATGAAATTTGATGTTTTCTTTGACAGCAAGCACTGCAGACGATACAAGAACCAAGCCGAATATAATTTGGTGAGAAACCAAATTATGCTTTCTCCTTTTATCTTTTGGGTTTCGCCAACAAGTGTTGTCTACTTATTATTTATCATAAGTTCTTCTTTAATTATGACTATTAAGGATCTCAATAAAATTTGTTTACCCATCATGATTCATCATATTTGGGTTATCCAGAAATGTTACTTCTTCCGTTAAGTTTTGATTTCTGCAAGCAACTGACCACTTTCTCTCATCACTCAAGAGTCTCAAACGCTTGTGATATTGTTTGCGTTGCTGCAATGTGATCATTGTCTTTTAAATTAATGTCCTTCGGACTTCTAAACAGAGAAACAGATGTCATACTAGTAAACTGATGTGTAAACCAGGCCACACATATGAATCCTTCAACTCCGACTAGTATCAAAAAAACTAATGGTTTTAAGAACCCTAAACTCTTCTTTCTCTCTCTCTCTCACTCTCTTTTCTTTTTGTTTCGAGACAGAAAAAGAAACTGGGGTTTTTAGTTATATGTTTAATTTACTTCCTCTGTAAGGGTGCCAAAAAGAATGAGCAGGGAAGGGAGCCTCATCCTGCAAAACAGTGAGTAGATTCAACTCCGTATGTACACACTAAAATCAATCCCCTTCTAATCAAATCAACGCCGTTTCTGGATCTCTTCCTTCACAAGTTCGGTCACCAAATCGGGCTCACTTAAAACCTGCTGAAGTGAGCTTAGTTCCTCCATGTTAGCTTTCTTCAACAAAACTTTGAGAATAGAGTTTGTTCCGGTAGGTAATAACCGGTGTTGTGGGGCATTCTGGAGATTTCCTTCTCCCAGTGATCTGACACTTGTGTTGGCTTCTCTGGGAAGAGGATTTGCAGGGAACTGAACTTGTGGCCGCGAATAAGGCCTGGAATCCCAATAGTCCATGCAAACTCGATTCACGTCTAATGCTTCAATAGCCTGTTAATCACATAAGAGTATCTATACGTCAACTTAGATTTACAAATGAAGCAATACATTTTCAAATCAACAATTCTATTATTCGACTCTTTCTAGCTATCCTAGAAGATGAGGATTTCTATACAGTTGGTTTTTATATTGAATTGTTGTTGGATCAATTCTTCCGTAAGTTCCAATGCAATTATGTAAATCTGGGTCGAATTCCGAATTCAAAACTTGTAAAGATTTTACCTGTACTATTGCGGGTGACGAATATCCAAACATTTCAAAACCGTCAGGACTACCAGCGGGTTGCAAAGGCGGAAGATCTGATTTTCCGGCTTTGTGTTGCTTATTTATCTCCTGATTTACTCTATCTCGTACCATCTCCCAGCATCTTGTAGGCGACAAGTGAACGAACACCTCACTGGGATTACTCTCCAAGTAAACCTGAGAAGAACATACCACATAATTTGTTGATGGACATGATTTTCGGAACTGCACAATGACTAATATAATCAACAAAGCAATTCACCCTTTTTCTCAAAGACAAGATTTTCACCGCTGATTAATTGGTAAATTCCAGTTTTGCTTAAAATCATTCTCAATGCAAAAAATTTGAAGTTATGTTAGCATGATGGGACTCTATGTCAATGGCATCCAAAGAATGGAACAAATTGACGTGTATTACAGCAAGCAAATAAGATCAGAACTCATCTATCAACTAACCATGAACATTGGACTATTGCGTCCAGCATCCAGAATTTCTGATATGTAGAAACACATATTTGTTGGATCCAAAATGTTTATGTACCTAACCCGGCTACGAAATCCTGCACCAAATAAAAAAAGACATTAATCTCTTCCAAAATGCATAGCTGTTATTGTTCTCAAGGTGCATAAATACTTGACCACAGATCACCTTTAGGAAAAATTGCTCGGCGGTTGCACCATGATTTTCCAGACAGCACACATCCATAGCTTAAAGGCTCTACATTGCAGTTGATTCTCCTCACGACCTTTGCAATACGGGGACCCTTTTGGCGGATGAACCTATCTGGACTATTGTTTTGCGAACAAGATGGTGTACCTGAATTACTTCTTGCCCCATCAACCACATCCATTATCGCTGAACCTCCACACTTTTTGGATTTACAACTACTAGGTTTTTCACCACCGCGGTTGTTAGTGTTTATTCTGTTACATATATCCTGAGAAAGCCCATCAGCCTCGGCATTAACTCCCACATGCGATGCAGAAGTCGGTACAGCCCCCCTCGTTGCTTTTTGGTCAGTAGTAGGCAAAGATATAGCATGTCGTACACCAGGCAGAAAATCTCCTTGCCTTCGGCAAATTGGAGCAGTAATTTTAGCAGAAGCTTCTAATGCTAAAACGTGGGTTGGTCTCTCTCGTACTTCCAATTGGTTGCCGGAAGAAACTGCATCTCTTCTCACCGAACCTCGTTTTCTAGGTATGTCAGGCTCATCATCACTGAGGAGTATCACATCATTGGGTAGACTCTGTGAATTCTTTTTACCACTTGCGGACTTTGCAGTTGTCACAGAGAGTATGCCTCCTTCAGATGGTTGGCAAGATGAAACTTTTGGATCAGAAGCATCATATACAGTTTCTTCTTTGACAGGCTCTATACATTGGCTTGAGGTTAACTGCTCCTCCTTGTCTTTCAGAACTAAATTAACATCTAATAATTTACTCGACTTTTCTAACCCTTTGCTTGGATCTTCTCTCAATGCTACTTTCAACTGCAAATCTTTCGATGAAAGTTGAACTGCTTGTGGACTCAGGTCCTTGTGCACTTTTTCTACCTCATCTATCTCCATCTTGGCTCCTGAGACTTGTGCAGTTAATGCCAATCCTAAATCTTGACGCGCCCATCTATATACAGAACTCAGTTTTCCTTCCACTGCCTCAACAAGAACATTCAGTTCATCGATATCATAGCGAAAGAGAAAATATTTAGTAACCCATGGACATGAACACAGCTGCTTCACATGAGTCAAACATGAATACTTCTCTGGGGAACAACGGCAACCAGCAGCAGACAGGTGCAAATCAAAGAAACATATACAGCACTCTCTCTCGTTGGTAGCATCAAAATTACTGTGCATCTTCAATGCAAGTGAAGAGTTGCACAGGAATTCTCTTTTGGTACGTTCCATGTCAATGCGCGCCTATATAAAACATGACAAAGTAAATTAATCACCATATTAACAATAAAAAACAATCCTGTTTAACCCAAATTTTTTATTGGTATAGTTAGCACCATGCCAAAAGACCATCAACTCCCAGTCTAATCATTTATTTAAATTTCTGTTATCCCCTTATTAGTTGACTTTATATTCATGTAATATACAAGATCCCTTCACTCAAGACATTTCAAGTTCTAAATCAACTACAGCCACATGCTACCGGTTTACATTGAATGCAACCATGCTACCAGTTTACAAAGATACCTCTTAAATTAACAACGACTCTAGGATTTTCCGACCATTAACTTTAATAAAAACTAATCTCAAGAATCAAGATAAAGGATATCTCTACCTTGAGTGTTTTTGCCAAAATTCCATTTTTTCCACTGAATGCTTTCCACCTTAAGTTGTCAACAGTATTTTTTTTTAGTAAGTTCAGCTCCCAGTCAGCTTTCACTACTTCTCTTGCTGCCCCAAGCAACAATTTATCATGCGAGATGGATGTTTTTCTACCCTGTTGACAGTACAACTCTATGGCAATCTGCCCATGAGGCAACCAGTCAACTGGTGCTACATTTACAGCTTCAGCACAGTTGAAACCAGAATTAAACCCAGCATGATATGCCCGAGGAAAAGTCAAGACAAACTCTCCAGCATGCTGGACGCAACGGTGCACAGGTACTCCTGCGGTTTTCAGTTTTGATGGGGAGAGTTGTGTAACCTACATGAAAGAGTATCATAAGATTAATTTTACCCAAACAGTACTGAAAGAATGATACACAAAAAATATATTCAAATCAGGAGCAAGTTGATAGAGGATGAAAAATGGATCTATAGAAGTTCCTAAAGGGTTATTAACTACAAAAATAAGCTGCTTATACTAGTAAAAGCTTATATATTGCATGAGGTTTCCAAATAAGAAATTCTATAATGGAAGACATGAGTTGTCTGATTCTAGAGCAGCATAGATTTTAGTTCATTAATTTTCTAACGCTTACTAGCTTATGAAGCAAGTCAGGCTGTTCTTCGAAAAGGTCAGGCAAATGCTTTCTCATTGCCTCCTCGAGTTTAACAGCATCCTTCCCCCCAACACCGTACCACAATTTTGGTGCACCCCAGTGCATATAATTCAACGAATACAAGTGGTGATCTTCAACATGCTGCTCCAGGGAAACAAAAACAAAAAGCAGTAATAAAAGGAATGTCAGTAATGGAAAATATTAAAAACAAAGTAAGATTTAGAGTAATGAAAAACAGATCCACAGATGTAAGAAAATCGTACAATATGATGACACTAAAGCGAGTTCCAAATGCAGAATGTATTGAACACAGACAAAAGGCATGAAATTACTTCAATTTCGTTCAGATTTTTTAGATGATACAATAAATATCCTCAACCTTCCTTTTTTCAGAAATTGAATCAAAATTAATAAGCTTAACGAGTATCTCATCGAAATTATGCAGTACAGAAATTTGATAACATTCATCTACTATTTGTGAATAAGTGCACTCGGTTATAGTTGTAAGTTTTACTATGAGCCTATGTTTAATTTCAGTAAAAGGAGATACTCTAACTCAGGCTTTAACTTGCAAAATAAAATTATGCAATTCACAGAGACCAATCTTACCCAACAGAAAGAAGAAAAGCACATCCCAATATATAACCATGGCACAAGGACGCCGGAGATATCACTGCCCTCATACTTAAGGAGGGATGCCGGAAGCCTTGGAAAGTTATTTAAGTTCCAGCCTGATTTTGCATATTTTTCGTCTGAAGAAGAAGCATTGTGACTTGATGATGTCTTGGGAAATCCGCTACCAAATACCCCAGTTTCAAGATCAGCACCATATAGAACCTATATTGAATTATCATTGCGGCAGTTAGAGGATACAAAGGCGCTAATAGAACATCAACCCCAAAATAAATAAAAATAAAAACAACTGGAACAAAACTTCACCTCTATCTCTTCAGTTGCTTTATCTACTATCCGCCAATATTCACCTTCAATATCCTCAACTGCTGGCTCCCAGCATTCTATGGAATTGCCAACTTTACATTCATTGTCTATAGAAGTTTCACTCTTCTTAAAGTACTGAGCCTTGAAATCATCAGCATATTTTTGGAAGTCTTTAAGTGTGAACCCTGGACCAGGTTCAAACCCAAACGTCTCAAGTTCACTCATTCCGGTGGTTTCAGAATAGGGATCGCTCACGCCATTAGTGACAGAATCCGTTCCCATTTTCATGCACTTTCTTTTCTTCTTTCTCATTTGATTAGACAGCTTTGAAATTTTCTTCATTGAACTCCGATTCTGAAGTTTATCAACTCTTTGGACACGTGTTGTAAATTTAGAACCCTCCCATACTTGCTTTTCTTTCAGTGGGCACGGGGGTTTCCAAGAAGGAGGAGGAACAATGCGACAGATTCCATACTTTTCAGCCTCTGGTCTTATTTTAGCTATATAATTCAGAGTGTCTTCAAACTCCTAGAAACAGGTTTGCAGTTTATGTCAAAAATATGGATCTAGTTACATAGAAATTCAGTTCAAAAGGTATATAGAATATGAACAAGACCTCTTCACTTGGGTAGAATACAGGAGCGTCATCAAGGTCAGGCCTACGAGCTTCATTTGGATGCCATTTCGCAGTTACCTGCCAAACTTGTTATGCTGTTAGAGGGTCATAAAACAAACTAAGATACAAGAAAAGATAAGACATCCAATCCTCAAGCGAAAGACATTTATAGTTGCACATTAATGAGATTAACCTTTTGGCAGTCTTTACATTCTTCACAACCCCTAACCACACCCTTTGGTAGAGAAGGCTCGACGACAGAATTCTGCAAGAACACGATGCATGAGAAAGGCAAGAGAAAAAAGAAAAAGAGAGATGGAAACACAAGTCGTTAGGCATAAGAAAGAAAATGCAAAACAAAGAACTAACCTGATCAAGATGTTGAGATGCAGCATTGTCATTGTTTGCAACATCATCATCATCATCATCACATCCGACATAATTTATCCAAGGTCTGTTACGCCGTAGAGAGCGAGCAGCTATGGCTTCATCAGATTCCATATCCATCTTGGCATGCTCGGTGACAGGAACAGCCTCAACGGCAGCAGTCTTGGGTTGGTCGGTAACAGAAACAGTGTCAATGGCAGTAGTGGGTTTATCAGAAGAAGCAGGGACAACCCTTTTTTTTAAGGTGAAAGTGGCATATGATTCAAAGCCAGGAGGAACAGATGGCACATCATCACTTTCCTCTTTAACACAGATTCTCATCAGCTCTGTCCCCATTCCTTAAGTGCCAACACTAGAATTCATGTATCACGAAATATCACACAACCAAAACTAGAATAATAAAACAATAATAATACATCACACAATGGTGTATGGGTTATAAAGGCAAAGTACCATTTACATTTATATAAACAAGGTTCAACGCCAATTATCTTAGTCAATCAGAAAATCTGAGCTGAAAAAAGGGGAAAATGCTTACATATTCTTGAATTAGGGTTTCCTGAATAAGATGGTCAAAACAGCTGGAGCTCCATCAACTGCACCCAGATTCAACAAAAACTCAGAATCGGGTAAGAAATCAACCAAGGATTCTAAAGATCTGAAGATGAAACCCTAAATCATTGGTAAATAATAATAATTAACAATCCAATTTCAACAGATCTAACCCATAGATTCAGATTATCATACCGCATGTCCTTTTCCATGTTTTGCATAGAAAATTCAAAGCCAAAATACAAAGTCCAAATAAATGAAACCAAGCCTTTTCCCATATTCCCCAGAGAAAGAAGAAAAAAGAAGAAGCCAAAATCAAGAAGAAAAGGGCAAAATTGGAATTAAATCTAGAGGTCCATCTATCAATATATGTTTGTTGGGTTTCTGATATATTAAAAAATCTCTGTTATGATGAAAACAAAACAAAACAATCTCTCTATAAGAACAGAAGAACAAAGATGCAAAAAAAAAAAAAAAAGCTATTTACTTTAGTTTTGATTCACTGGTTAAAAGATTTCAGATGATAAACTTAATCATCACCTTTGTTTCTACCAAATTTTTTGTGTGTTTAAGATCATGAGATGAAACAACATGTGGTGGCTTTTGTTGTTGCTGCCCTTATTTCTGGGTTCTTTATTTTTGTGGGTTGGCCTCAGCAGCGCTGCTCTATGTTGAAGGATGATGATGATGTCTTCTTCTTGGTTATAAAAGAGTTATATAACGCTTCAAAATAAAGCAGATGCAATTTCCTATGCAACTACTCTCTACTATATAACCAGTATTTTGTTGTTTATCTATCTTTCTATCAAGGCCAAAAAAAACACCCCATAAAAGCAATAAACTATTTCATTTACGTAATTGTGGTCATATAATTTGTTTTAACCATAGAAGAAAACATTTATTCACGGGTTCACATTACATCATATCCACACAAATTATATCTTTTTCTATTTTACTTTAGGTAAGTAATTTCATATTGTATTAAAAAATATATTTTAATATAGAATAATATTTTACCAAAAAGATACGTTACCAAACTTGTTTATATAAATATTATATCCATACTTAGACTTCCAAAAACTTCTATTCACATGCTAACAGCCACCTGTATTGTATGTAATCACTAATCACTTAATAGATTTCATGCTACTTTAGACCAATATTTTATAAATTTGAATACGATATAATGCAATCCTTTAGACATTTAAAGATATATAAAAAGAAGAATGGGTGTGTGTGTGTTGTTAAACGACTATAGGTTAAGTGTATTTTCATCATGATTTCTAAACATATTGTAGTGTGTTTTATAGATAACCAAATAATACAAAAGAAAACAAATAAAAATAAAAGGAGGTGAATGTTAGATGTTTCAGAAGTTGTGGGGGACAAAATGAAATAATGTAGAGACATGGAGGGTGCAGATTGTAAATTAATGATAAACCCTACTTATCGTCTCTCTCAAAACCCGCGTCGAATCCTAAAAGACGCTCACTGCTTCGAACAACGAACGAACGAACCGGTGAGTGACTTCTTTACTACAATCACTTCTCCAGATTTGTTTGCTCAGACTTATACCTACTTTGAGATTCTTACTGCTTCTTTTTGTTCGAATCTGTTTCTGCTTCTCTGTCTCTATAAAACTTGTACCTTTCCTTTTCACAGGTTTGGTTTCTCCACTCACTCAACTCAAGAATAGGTTTATGAGTCTAAGCAAGGATTGAACTTCCTCACAGCCAAGTTTTCTGGGTCTAAACCCGTTTATAAGATTCTGTGAAAGGAAACAGCTCTGTTCTGTCAAACTTGTTCTGAGTTCTGAGAAATGGCTTCATCAAATTTGCTAATTGAGGCTCACTTGTTGCGTATACCAATTTTGTCTCCAAAGCAGGCGAATCTCTGTTTGCTGAATCCTTCATCTTGCAGAAAAATGTCTTCTTCAGATTGGAAGCAAGAAACTGGGCTGAGAAGGGATGTTTCTATGAGATGCCAGGGGGTGCTGAATGGTGTCTGCATCGACCGTGTAAATGATGTTGATGTTCATGCTGAGAGAAGCTCAGAGTTCCATCACTATGGTGTCGGAGATAAAGTGAAACCAAGGAAGCTTTTAGGTTCTTCGAGTTTATCATCTGATGGACCAATTACCGAGAACGACCAAGAGACAAACAATGAGATCCTTCATAACCTCTGCAGCAATGGCAAGTTAACAGACGCTTGCAAACTTGTCGAAGTGATGGCACGTCATAATCAGCTTCCTCATTTCCCTTCTTGCTCAAACCTAGTTCGCGGTCTAGCCAGAATTGATCAGCTGGATAAAGCAATGAGTATCTTGAGAATAATGGTTATGTCTGGTGGGGTTCCAGATACTATTACCTATAACATGATCATCGGTAATCTTTGCAAGAAAGGGCATATAAGATCTGCCTTGATCCTCTTAGAAGACATGGGTTTGAGTGGGAGCCCTCCAGATGTGATCACCTATAATACACTGATTCGGTGTATGTTTGATCATGGGAATGCTGAGCAAGCCATCAGGTTTTGGAAGGAACAACTGCGGAACGGTTGCCCTCCTTATATGATTACATACACGGTTTTAGTTGAACTCGTGTGCAGGTACTGTGGAAGCGCTCGAGCTATGCAAGTTTTAGAAGACATGGCAGTCGAAGGTTGTTATCCTGATATTGTCACATACAATTCTCTGGTGAACTATAACTGCAGGCGAGGGAATTTAGAGGAGGTGGCTTTGGTCATTCAGCATATTGTATCTCATGGATTGGAACTCAACACCGTAACTTACAACACTCTTCTACATTCCCTTTGTTCCCACGAGTACTGGGATGAAGTGGAGGAGATTCTAAACATCATGTATCAGACGTCCTACTGTCCAACAGTTATCACTTACAACATCTTGATTAATGGTTTATGCAAAGCTAGGCTTTTGACTCGTGCAATCGATTTCTTCTACCAGATGCTGGAACAAAAGTGCTCACCTGACATTGTCACTTACAATACAGTTCTAGGAGCCATGTCGAAAGAGGGAATGGTAGATGACGCGATCAAGTTACTTGGATTGCTTAAAAACACGAGTTGTCAGACCGGATTGATCACTTATAACTCTGTAATCGATGGGTTGGCCAGAAAGGGATTGATGGAGAAAGCATTGGAGCTGTACCATCAGATGCGCGATGCTGGAATCTCTCCCGATGATATAACCCGTCGGTCTTTGATATATGGTTTCTGCCGGGCAAACCTAGTTGAAGACGCGGGTCAAGTTTTAAAGGAGACAAGCAATAGAGGGAACGGGATCAGAGGTAGCACTTACAAGTTGGTGATCCAAGGGCTATGCAAGAATAAAGAGATGGAAATGGCAATAGAGGTTGTTGAGATAATGCTAACAAGTGGATGTAAGCCAGATGAGACAATATATACCTTAATAGTTAAAGGCGTGGAAGAGATGGGAATGGGAAGTGAGGCTATTCAGTTGCAGAAGAAGCTGAAGCAGTGGAAACTCTTGAGGGTAGCGTAGGAAATGTAATTGAATCTGCCTTTTCTATTAAGTCTTTTGTACAGGAAACCAGTTTTGTAAGGCAACGGTTGAATCAGAAAGCTTATGCCTCAGTTTGCTCAAAATTAAGTTTCATTTTGTTTGCCTAGAGATATCCTTTTGTTTCCTAAATATAAATATAATTACTAAAATTCTATTAACCCAGAAGAGTCGAAATTCAGACGTAGCAAAACAGATAAAACATATTGAATAAAAGTTGTATATTCAAATCTCGAAAAACAATGACATCAGTAAATCTACAAATCCTTAATCGCCTTTAGATTTACAAGACACAAGTTTCAACATGATTAGAAGTTGATCCCCTAACAAACACTCTGATTTGTTCTCCGCAATAGAACTATAATGTAACTCATCTATAATCTAAAGGGATGTTTAAATGATACTATTCCCATTAATTTGGGTTACAGTCTCACAATTAAAAGAAAAAGAAAAGAAAAACTCAACTTTTTTGCAATCTTCATTTACTATTTAGTTTACCTCTGAAGTTTTAGATGCAGGTCTAAAGTCTGCCCATGTTAAAACGATCCCACACTCCCCACAGAATGTGCTACTACCAAGTTTTATTCCTTGGCTTATGAGTGTAAGCTGGTGGGCAATTCTAGTGCAGTTGCGGTTCACAAAACGACTTCTGTTGAACCCCTTAGGCATGGGTAACGGTTCTGTTTGTATGGAAGGAGAAGGTTTTGGGAGCACTGAAGATTCACTAAGAGGGACCCGCTGAACTTCTTCCCATTCAAGTGCTCTTCTGTAAACTTCCCAGGCCATATCTTTTTCTTCCTTTGTCAGTCTTTCGTCTTCATTCTCTTGTAGCAATGTCTCGTGCTCATGGAAACTGGAAATCCAGCTAGTAAAACAAAGAAGAGCAAAGAATGTCAAAAAGCAAGTTGTGTAGAAAACCAAAGAACGTATCTACCGATTGTGATATGGTAAAGTTTGCGAAACTTACTTTGGCCCGTGTCTCTGTAGTAAGTTCTCCATCAATTTGTCGCAGACAACACGAGATAAGGTGGCCTTCGGCTTCTGTGAATTCTCCATCAGATTGCTTTGAGTCGCTTCGTTTTGCTTGCTTCTCTCAGTCACGGCTTCAGTTTTCTCATCATCATCGTCAAATTCAAAAAGATGTAACATCTCTTCTTTGGAGATAGTCCTGTGCACTTGTTGTCTATCGACCACTCTCGCAGCTAACCCCTCCTTAGTCACCTAATCATATTAACAGATCTGATTCATGAATGCCTCCTTAAAGGAAAGAAACACTAAAACTTAAAAAATTTAATACCTGACGTTTATATATCTTTTCTTCAATAGTCCCACGTGCCATCAACCTGTACGCAAATACTGGTTTCTTTTGACCATACCTACAAACAATAAGTCCACATGATGCTAAGCCACAACAACACTTAATGCTATTGACAAATTTGTGGTCTAAGGAAGAAATACCTCCAAGCTCGAAATATAGCTTGAAGATCATAGGTTGGATTCCATGAACCATCAACGATAATCACACGGTTAGCAGCATAAAGATTAATTCCAAGGGATCCTGCTCTGGTTGAAATTAAAGTGCATTTCACCCTTTTGTTATCAGGCTCATTAAACCTATCAACCAACTTTTGTCGCTCTGAGCTTTCAGTTTTTCCATCAATTCTGCACCCATCAAGTGAGTTAGAGGGCCTTCATAATTGTTCAGATAGCTCTTTCTAATATAAAAGAACAGAAGATACCAACCTGTACCAGTCTTTCCCCTTTTTCCAGAACTTTCCTTGTTTTCCATTTCGAGATACTCTTGAAAGATAAAGTTCTATGAGATCCAAAGTCGGGATACTCTGGCTAAACACAAGCGCCTTATCCCCCACATCAGCACACATGGATAAAATATCCAATAGCAAAATCATTTTGCCACTATACTCCGACACCTTATAATTATTTTTTTGAAGTAGGTCGACCCACCAATCCTGGCACAATCACAGGTGAATCAGAGCACAGTGCATTATTACTCAGTTTACTTTTAAAATGTTGTCAGTAGGTACTAGTGGCTGGGTAGACTATAGTTACCTTTTGGAGGTAGCCATCAACTTTATCCTGCAAATCATTCATAGTTCTTTGTTTCTCTGTCAATATCCAAAACAACAACAGTGACACAAATTATTGTTAGTAAGAGAGTCTTAAACCATTAAGAAAAATCTTCCAGCTACTGGCAAAGTGGCAATCTTATTCAAACTAAAACTGGACACAAAGGTTTAATTCCCACTACACCTAACATTACTTGATATCAAAACAAAAAAATATCTATCTTCACCATGGCAAAGTCTGTTGCGTCTGTTCTTCCTACTAGTTTTAAAAAAACATAAACATAATGAAAATTAAGAGTTACCTCCCGTAACCATGTTGTAGTCTATATTTTCTTCACTTGAACAGTCATCTGGAATATCAACAATGCTACCACGACGACCATTCTTGCTATCTTCTCTTCTTAATTGCGGAATCCCTGGATGATTTAAAATCTGGGAGACAAAATACCACAGCAAGTATTTAAAATTTGAATAATAAAAAGAATTTCCAGATATATCAATTTAAGCACAGCAAGGCTTTACAGGTTTATACCTGAGCCAAGACCTGGTAAGCAGCAAAAAAGTTTTTTCTCATTTTTTCATCAGCTCTTCCATCGCTGAACCCATACAGCCTAAGAAATCTCTTATACAGTTTCCGCTGCAAGGGCGATAGCTTGACAGATATTACGAAGACTGTTTTAGGTGGCAGATCCTTTTTCACCACATTCATGTCCATTCTTTGCACAAATCCTTTCAATTGCTCATACAGAATGTGTGATCTCTGGTTCATAATTTTTACATCCTCTGCAGTTGAATTCATATGCTGTCCGTTTTCTATTGGATTTTGGAAGCTGCAGGTATGGAGAAATATGATTAAAAATCTATAAACAACACATCATATCAGGCATAAAACAACACAGATATGAAAAATTACCGATTTCTAAACTCAGGGCTACTCCCCAAAAATCCTTCTCTGACAAAATCAACCATCTGTTGCAGCAAAAACATAGTTTAAGAAACTGGGGCTAAAAAAAGTTGTTCAGAAGTTTCTATAGTTTCCTCAGCAACTTACACAATAATATTCCATGAGATTATTTTGAAGGGGTGACCCAGTTAAGGCAATTCTTCTCTGGCATTTAACTTGCTTCAATGCTTGAGTTGTGTCAGCCCTGGTATTCTTAATAATGTGAGCCTCATCGCAAACAAGTATATCAGGTCCATCCTGCAGCCAAATAGGGTTAGAAAATATTGCAGGAATAAAACATCCCACACAAAGGAACATGGAAAAGAGAGAATGCACAAGGGTTATCCTGAACAAGAGAAAACATAGTGTAACATTCTCCTAAAAAGATCAACGTAAGTGACATTATAGTCTCACCCTCAAGGCACTACAGATCTCTCTGGCCGCATTCAAATCCTTCACCCCCCTCCCAAGAGACAGGTTTCTAAAAGCTGCATATCCCATCAAGAAGACTCCACCCTTATTTCGCCACTTTTTTAGCAAGTCCAATCTCCTTTCCCTTAAAAAAACAAAAAAAGACGTTGGTCCAGGAAGTCAATTGAAAAACTGTCCAAAAGGTTTTAAGAAACAAATACACCTCGTAGATTTAAGCAAAAAAAACATTTGTGTTAATTTTAATAAACGATTGCCTATTAAGAGAAGAACCTTCATTCTCATTCTCTTATCATCTATCAAAACATAATGTTAAGTCTGGAAGCACAGAAAATCTACAACCAAATGCTTCTTTCATAGAAGAATCTCTACCTTGAAACGTCTTCAAGCATGAAAATGCGAAGTGGTTTCACTTCTGAAGGCCTCCACTTCATAAATTCACTTCGCCAATTGTGCAACACATTTACAGGAGTCACAATAAGAGCAGTTTTCAGCCCCAAATCAACACATCTCATTGCGGTGTACAAGAACGCTATAACCTGGTAGTTAGCACACATAAAGAGCCAGTAATAGCACACATCATATAGCGAATAACGATAAACCATTAGTACTATGCGTTAATAGGGACGATGATAAAATACATCGTGCATGAAAAAAAAAATATTAAGCACCTGAAAAGTTTTGCCCAGGCCCATTGTATGAGCTAGAATGCACCCAAGACCTTTATCACCAGACTTTACTCTACTGATAGACTGAATAATATTTTCCCACATAAATCTTATCCCTGTTACCTGAAAATTCAAACCTCCAAACTTCAAGCTAAAGCCATTTCCATAATAAATATTTTTATAAATAAAACGTTATATAAGCATTTCTAGGCGAAAATAGGTATGTTTATTGCCCGCTGGTACAGGTAACAAGCAAGATGAGAATTATGTTGTGATGATAGGGCTGCCCATATGTATGCTAACCTGATGGACTTTTAGTTTGGCAGATATACTACAAGGAACTCTCACAGCTTCTTCACCAATCTCCCTAGCAACATTTACTATGTAACCACTGTGAGCATCACCAAGAACCTCAATTTCCGCACCTTCTGGAATAGATTTCACATCTCCCATAGAGCTAATTGTTTTGTATCTGGCAGAAAACTGCAAGGACCTAAGACGCTCCTGCCGTTCCTACAAAAAATAAGAAACCAAATAAGCAATAATGCTAAATGTCGAAGACTGTATACTAGTATAACAAAAATAACTGCCAAAGAAGTTGACACCTTTTCAATTGCAATTTTTCTTCTCGTGTCTTTCCCTAATTCAGCATCATCGATTATCCGCCGAATTTTCTTCTTTGATTTCTTCTTTGAGCTAAAAAAAAAAAATCATGCAAGTAAGAAAATAACACACCAATACGAACCAGATAAGTTGGAAACAGCCTGGAATCTACCCGCTAAATGTGTATATGTTAATACCTGATTGCTACATTAACATCGGCATCTGTATCAGCAGAATTGTTATCAGAGCTGGAATCAGAGCTAGAATCAGAGCTAGAATCAGAGCTCAAGTCTATTGTCTTCTTATACCTCATGGCTTTCTCCAGTTCAAGTGTCAATCTTCGCAAGGGAATTGGAGAGCAGCAACAACAATCCCAACCAGAGGATTGAGCTTCAGGCAAGTATTCTTCACCAATATTCCTCTTTATGCATGATGCACAGAAAAGTTTTTCGCATGTCCTACAATCTATTAAGTCAGTAATATGACCACACCATTCACAACGACGTTCCAAAGAGTCATCAACCTGATAGTAAAAGTCAACATCTTGGTTAAAAAGAGACAGATATAGCAATAATACTTAATAGATTATGGCAACGAATCTATGTGTTTCTCAAAATAACAAAAAGAAGTTTGTTACTCAAAAGAAGCATTTGATGAAGGCAATAAAAATGAAAAGACAATTTAACCCCTTCAGTTAAATATTATTGCAGCCATGAATCTACTACGACAACAAAAAACTTTTTCCTTCCCACCAAAAAAAAAAAACAAAAAACTTTTTCCTACTCTGGATTCACCATGTGCAGTTCCCCAGAATTCGTACACATATAATATCCAAACCAACAATTATACTGAAACTCTCCAATTAAGGGTGGCAACACAATCGGAAGAGATTTTTACATCCCATTCAGATAAGAAAGCGTTCCATATGATTCTAAATATATTTTTCTGACATAAATTAGAAGAAGAAAAAACATACCTTCGCAACTCTATCTTCAATTGAACGTTTGCAATCCATGCAAACTATAACTTCTAGAAGGGGGTGACTATGCACTTCCACAGCTACGTTATTACAGGCAGTACACCTAAAATTGTTTGCTGAATCATCTGTCATGGTATCTATATCTGAATTAGACAAATTCCCATTTTCCACTTTGTTGACATCCTTATTATGAACATGATTGCTGGTCTCAGGACTTTTAGCTCGGGCTTCAGCAGATTTTGGGTTAATAGAGTTCCCATCCAAAATCACACAATCATCATCCATACTCTCTGCCGCACACCTGATAACCTGGAATAAAACCAAATGAAGACTGCCAGATGATTACTCAAGACCAACAAAATCCCTGGCACCACAATCCCCTAGTCCCACGTTAAACACAAGTCATAACCATTACTTGACAATCGAGCAATAAAAAAAAAAAACTTAAATAACAGGCAAAATGCCATCTTTCCCCAAAATACAAATATCCCTCCGTAAACTATATCTTAAAAACATGAATTCAACATTGATATTAACTATGAGAAAGATGTAGGAAAACACAACTATATGTGAATATAGAAGATATTTAAATCTCCAAAACCAGCCTCACTATGATATACCTTATAGAAGATATTAATGACACTCTATGCTACTTGTAACACCAAGACGTTTTCAATCAAATACATGCCACATAACCATAAATAACAGAAAGAATATGCAAAACAGACCTGATTCGATCTTTTCTTGCGTCTTTTCCGCTTCAAACGAAGTTGATGTTCAAGATCACTATTTAAATCATCCTCTTCTTTGACCTGTAGATGAATATATGTCATACTAAAGCTGATAAATGGTAAGGCAGGAGTTGCGATTTCATATATAGATTTTATGGCAAACTCCATAAATGCAGGAACCTAAGGAGCAGCCAGAAAAGGTAATACCTTCAAAAGTAAAATGCTAAATCACAGAAACCTAAGAAGTTAGGTTAAAAAGTATTACTCGTATATAATTTTTCTTTTGTTCTTCGGAGAGGGGAAGTTCTCTTTCATTTTCTATTGCATCGGCCAAAAATGGATCTGCCAAGCTTGCATCAATCTCTTCGATTTCCTCCACCTGAAAAGAAAAGAAATAACTTTGAGGATCATTCCAGATTGCCATGAGTCTTTACAAAAGCCCAATATTTAAAAGATGTTCAACTCTGTTAAACTAGCTGGATAAGAAACAGGGTATTTATGAACATTACTTGTCTCCCAAGGTTATAAATAATGCCTTGCAGTATCTAAAGCTGTAGCAACTAATAATAACTCAGTAAAAGCTCAAATTTTATTTCTACTTTTAAAACCATAGACCTTGGCTTAATGTTTTTATTCTAATGGAAAACCAGACTGCAGAGTGAGTTATGTTCACCTCTCCTGATTATGGCATAAAAATCGACCATACCATAAATTTAGTGACTTGCAAGCAGAAACTAACAAGGAAGGATAAGACCTGCTTGCATAAGAAGTATTATGGCAAAAAAGTCACCCATGCCATATTGCCAAGAAACGGAGATGTCATATTTAACGCTTTTTTCTTGGAATGAAGAAAAATTAACAGATGCATACATTTGCAAATCATCATTAGCATCAGGATTATAAGGAAAAATAAGACATAATTTTGAAGTTAACCTCATTGACTCCTGGAAATTCTAATCCCATGGCTGCAGCTTGTTGTGGAGTGCTTGCCAAGTAAACAGACGCCCAATGCTTACTACCAAAGGAAATAGACTCATCCCTTTTTTCCGAAAACACTTTGTTTAGAGATGACCAGTCAAGCTCAGATGTTCCACACAAAGATTCTTTAACATCACCATCAGCAAGCTTTTTCTCCAGAAAACCACTAGCCCCCTCCTCCAAAAGTTTTCCATGTCGTCTACACCAGAAAAAAGTTTAGAAATACCATCCATGACACTGAGAATAATCGCACTAACTAAAATAGAAGCTACTAAAACCCTACTTTCGGACAGGCCGGTGAGTGTGAAGAAACCTCTCAGCATTAGCCAATGATTCCACAGTTTCTTTTGTCACCTGAGTCCCAGCCCAGTGGGCTCTTTGTTTCCAAGCTTCAGTGTAGCAAACATTAGGGGCATCCCTTTCTATTCTTTCGAATAATTTTGGAAGCTCGATTCCAGCACCATCAAGTTGCTCCTTTAAGAAAGAAGCAACAAGGAAAGCAGAACTTTGTAAGTTTTCTTGAATGACATGGAACCCTATAAATTAAATTTTGAGGAAATAGAAGAAGCAACAACAAAACATACCAACAAGTTTGCACTTTCTGTTTCAAGCTCATCAAGAGTTGCCTCCCATTCATCTTTAAAAGTCATCATTTCAGCAGCAACAGCTTTATTCAACTAAAACAGGCACTCTCTTAAGATGTTTAATGGGAACGAGCAAAGGAACTTGAAGCTATGACAGTAAGAAAAAGAAATTAACCTCATCACCATGGAGTGTTTCTGATAATTCGTTCCTAACTTCACTCTCTACTTTAGAAAGAGACTCCTTTTCAAGTGCTTCTTGAGCGTCTGACGCCTACAGATCAATGGGAATCATAAAAGAGTAAGATTGAGACCTGAGAGTTAAATTGGGATGGCTAGATCTCCAATGAACAAAGCGAAGAGATTAAATACCTTACTCTCAACTCCCATAAAATCTGAAATTAACTCTTCTATTTCTTCCTCGCTCAGAGGTTTCTGCACAATAATTGTTAAGAACTACATTAGATAAACATATGCTCTTTCTCCGTCATACTGCCACTAATGAAAGTGACCAAGACATATCCAAGTTACTTACCTCAAGATCCAACTCATCATCACGCCCTGACTGCAATTGTTCATCTTCATCTGAACTGAAATCAGAACTTTCAGATATGCTATCAGAGACTTGCAGCTCCTCATCCTTTTGCTCATCCTGATTGTTATTTTCTTCCATCTGTACATCATGGTACTCCCCTCTTTCATCTATTGATTTCACCTCTTCAAGCTTTCCCTCCATCATCTCTTGTTCTGCCTCCATTTTTTCATCTGTTATATCCATCCCATCCTCTTTTGCCTCCACTGTATGCTCCTTTCCCTCTGGATGTTCATCTCTTCCTTTCGTTTTTTCTTCATTTTCCTTCATTTCCAAGAGTTTTCCTTCAGTTCCTACTGAAAAAGCATTAATAATCGTTTCGTCAGACATACCTCCCTGAGATTGCACGCAGGTACCCCTAAAATTTACATGAAAATTCAATAAATCACCTTTTCTCTATTTCAAACATGTCCCATTCAACCAAAATTTTTGAAAAAGTCTAGGATAGTACGAAAATTCCAGCACTACCTACGCAGAACCAGCAATATATTTCAAGGGCTTAAAAACTCATAACCGATAGGGGAAGAAGAGAGGAATCATCAAGTCCATCATATATTTTTTTTTGAGCAAGTCCATCATATATAAAAATTAGATTAGGTCCCAAAACTTATCATCGATATAAGATTCCCTAACATATATTGGTGTAGATACCGGACATTTAATTCAGAAGAGGCTATGATTGAATTCTAGTTAAAAGAGATGAACTGGGTATATAATTCATATAACTCCCAACACGGAAAGTTTGAAATTCCAAAGAACTGCCGAAATGTAATGAGTAGAAGTAATCAATTCAATGGAAAAGTATCGTTTTTGACCTAAGGTCTGATCAGGGTATACTTACACCCTCATTATCTAACACTTCAGAAAACATTTAACACTCAAAGATCTACGAACCACTCCAGTCATCAGTAAAAAAGGAAATACCTTTGTGCGGCAAAACGGTACTACTTTAGAACAGTGACGGAGTGGTCGAAAACGGAAGTATTTAAAAAATAAACTGGCGACGGAGAAGAAGAGGCTTGCAAAGGTGAGAGAGGATCCTGCAGAGACAACAGACACTCTGCGGCAGAGAGAGGGAGAGAGAGGAATCACAAGAAGTGGACAATGAATTTGAATAGGGTTTGTGTTTGGGAAGCCGAATCGCCGGCAACGAAGGGTCGCGATCGAAACGGTTCGCCGTGAAGAGGCTGAAGCGTGTGGAGAGTGTTTGGTTTCAGATGCTTTTATAATTCTTTTGACGACGGTTTTGGAAAAACAAATTTCATAAAAAAAATTTCCTAACCAGCAAAATATTTAGTGGTAAAAAAAAGTAGATGATGATGATTTGCTGTTGATAATATCGAAAACCCTCAAATCACATTAATAGATAGATTTTTTTCTTTAAAAAAAAAAACAAACAAAAGAAAAAGACATTAATTTTAGAGGGGTGTAATTAACTCACTTTATTAACATTGTCATTATGTTAAAGCTTTTAAGGAAAAAACAAATGAAATTTACTATTTACAGTCAATTATATTTCACTGAAAATAAATACAAGTTTGACTAAATATGTTAAAGCTTTCTTCACATTAAAACCAAAAAAAAAGTTTGACTAATTGTTATAATATATACAAGTTTGACTAACTCATATTTTGCATACACAAGAAAAAAAAAAAAAAAAACCAAAAAGATAAAAGCTGACCATTTCTTGTAATATGTTTTGCCAAAAATTGATTCATATAATTAGAAGTTATGGATTTGGAAGAGATTAGAAGTTGCAATGTATATTTGATGGAATCAATTGCTTTTGCGAATCATAAATTTTTTTGATCGCAAATGGAAACAAATCTAAAATACAAAGAACTAATCAATATTTTTAAAATTTTGAAGATATTCAAAATACTATTTATGGTTTCTACTTTCTAAGCTAACAAAATCTAAGGGGTTTGAGTGTTTGACTAAGCTGTATTTGAATTAGATTTAAGGAGATGTAATTTTGAAATATATCTATTCTTTTTTTTTTTTTACTATTTTTGTTATAAAAGAAAAGTATATTTTACAGGTGCCAAAAAAAGAAGAAGTATATTTTACAATTTTATTCACTGGTAAATACAATTTGCTGGATTAGGGATATTAATTGAACAAGGGGACTTATTACAATGTTTAATCCATGTCAATCAAAAGGGCTTTAGTACACACACGGTTGAACTGTATGGGCTGATTAGGATAATTAAAACGGATTTGATATATAGTCCAACATTAAAATTTTGGCCCCAGAAGCTCCCAAATGACAAAACTACCCCTACGGCCCTCCGTCTTCTAAATCAGTCCTACCACCGGCGAATTTTTGAAAATCGGCAAATCTCCGGCGCCATGGCAAACACTTTTCCTGCGAGGTTTCGCCTCCGCGAGCATCGTGATTACGTCCCTGATCGACGGTCTATCCTTCGGGAGTTTCGCTGTGCAGAGAAGAGCGATTCTTAATGCCAGGAGCATCTCCTCGATCACGTGTTTACACTCTCCGGCGATGCTCGCGTCAATCACTTCTTCCAAGCTCTCGTTCTTCTTCACCTTCCTCCGAATCCACTCCACTACGTCAATCGAATCCTCAAACGACGGATCTATCGGCATTTTCCCAGTCACCAGTTCCAGAAGCACCACGCCTAAACTGTATATATCGCTCTTCTCGTCAATCTTCAGTGTGTACCCGTACTCCGGCGCTATATATCCGTAAGATCCGGCCACCATAGAAACCGTTTCGTTCTTGTGAAGCATCATCTTCGCCAGTCCGAAATCAGCTATCCTCGCCTCGAGGTTAGAATCGAGGAGAATGTTATTCGATTTGATGTCTCTGTGAATGATCGGAGGAGAACAGTCGTTGTGCAGGTAATTGAGACCTTGAACGACTCCGACGGCGACATTATATCGCGAGAGCCAATCTCTTAGTAAGAATTTCTCATCTTTGGAATGCAAAGCAGTTCCTAAGTTTCCATTGGGCATGTACTCGTACACCATCATCACTTCTTTCTCATTGTGAATGTAACCTAAGATCTTCACTATGTTTCTATGTCGGAGACCACCAAGCATATTCACTTCTCTGAGAATGTCGTCCTCTGCTTCTTCTTCTTCTTCTTGGTGATGGTGATGATCTTCAATATCATTCTGTGGTGCTGGTGATCTCCAGAGTTTTTTCACAGCTACTGTGAGTAATGGCCGTCGCATAACTTCTGCTTTGTAAACAATCCCCATTGCTCCCATACCAATGATGTTTGATTCTTTGATATGTGATAAGATGTCTCCTGCCGTGAAACACAGTCTCTGGAAAGCCACGAGTCTCCATGGCCACTCTTCCTGTGGCTGCTTGCAGAACAAATATTCTCTGGCAAAGTTGCTGTAAAGATCCCATCTTGTGTATACCCATCTCCCTGCCAAGAACATCATTCCCAGAGACACGATGACTGAAGTTCCTACAATGAACCCGAATATTGCGTGATTGACGTGAATTCTCCCGGGATTTCTCCCTCTTGCTGACAATGCTAGACTCTTAGAGCAAGGAGGTAGAACTCCACCGCATAATCCATCGTTTCCCACGAGGTCTTTTGGGTTTATGGCTGCGAACAGCATGTTAGAAGGAACAGGTCCTGCAAGTTTGTTGAATGAAACGTTTAGCATCTCCAGGGTTGGAGAAGCTCCCAAGTCCGCTGGTATATTACCCGATAAAGAGTTGTTTGAGAGATCAAGAACAGCTAGCATGTGCATCCCGGCCAATGCCTCGGGGATTTCTCCCACCAATTGGTTGCTCTTGAGATTTAGACTCACAAGTTTTTCGAAGGAAGCAATCCTTTGGGGGATTTCACCTGAGAGATGGTTGAAGGAGAGATCGAGGACAGATAAAGATGGACGATCTTGAATCTGGTTAGGTATTTTCCCGGCAAAGTTGTTATGCGACGCAATGAAGGTTTGAAGATTAGGACTTGAGAAAATAGAGGAAGAAAGGGATGAGAGCTGATTATATGATATGTCTATGAACGAGAGTGATGTAGATGAGGCTATATCATCTGGAATTTTACCGGTGAGGTTGTTTTTTGCGAGTTCCAGATGCTGAAGCATGGGTAAGTCACCTGAACCAGATGGTATTGCTCCGGAAATGAGGTTTTCCTGGATTCGGACACGAACTAAGGTCGGACATGAGAAGATTTCCTCTGGAATCTGACCGGAGAATGAATTGTTGAAGAGAATGAGCTTTGTGAGGTTTCTCGAATAGCACAATCCTGATGGGATTTCTCCTGTAAGCTTGTTTGATGAGACATCTAACCACTTTAATGGTGAATTCTTGCCGAGATGCACAGGTAAGGAACCCATTAAAGAGTTCTGCCACAGCTCAAGAACCTCAAGATTTCGTAAGTCAGCAATCTTTGACGGAATCATTCCCATGAGTTGATTCCTCATCAAATTCAGAAGCTGCAGATTCTTCAACTCAGCTACTTCCGTAGGTATCTCTCCTGTAATCTGGTTATCGGATAGATCAAGAAACACAAGAGAAGTCATTTCACCGAGTTCTCGTGGAATCTTCCCTGTAAGACGGTTCTGGTAGAGGTAAACTGTTGTAAGCTGTTTCAGTTTGCCCAAAGAAGATGGAATCTGTCCCGTAAGGTTCCCAACAGCCAAATCGAGGTACTGAAGATGCGTCAGGTTCCCAAACTCTTCTGGAATCTCACCCGTGAAGCCGTTGTAGCCAAGAATGATGGTTTCCAAGGAGGAGAGCTCACAAATCACCTTTGGTAGCTTTCCACCAAAGTTATTACCCGAAAGACCGAGAAACTTGAGGTTCTTGAGATTTTTGAAAGAAGAAGGCAGAGAGCCCTCAAAGTAACCTCCTCGAACGTCCAAAACCTCAAGTTTAGTTGCGTTGCCAAGATCTTCAGGGAGAAAGCCAGAAAAATTGTTGCTTGAGGCATTGAAGTGTGTGAGACCAGTGGCCATCCCAAGACCATAAGGGAAGGTTCCAAAGAAGTTGTTCACACTCACGTCGAAGACCTTCAAGGACGTGAGGTTTGAAAGAGATTTAGGAAGAGATGACTCAAATGTGTTATTGCTGAGATCAAGAACTTGCAGAGAAGGGAAGCTCTGAATCTGATCCGACACGTTCCCGCTAAGGTTCATGTTGGGAAGAAGAAGCTTGGCCACATAGCCATTTGAATCGCAGTGAACTCCGGTCCAGTGACAATGAACTGATGCAGTAAATGCTGTGGCATTCTCAGGCCGCTTCCAATCGTGGAGATTATTGGAAGGATCAAACAGGTCTGACTTGATGGCCAACAAGATCTCTTGTTCATAACCTTGAGAAGAAACGAAAGGGAAAAGAAAGAAACCAATGTAGTATAAGAGGAAGAAAAGGTGAGGAATCGCCATTTCTTTTTTCTCTCTTCTGGTTCTTCAATTTTGGCTAATTTTGAGTCATTTTTGTGCAACTGAGATTGAAGGCCCCCGATCGTGAAGTTGATAATAAGAGACAGGAACCAAAAGCTGGAATAACAATGATTAATCAGAAGAAGCTTATAGTATTTTAATCTTCTACTTCTTCTTCTCTCTCTCAATTATTTTCTCATGATTAAGTTACTTTTGCCATCGGTGGAATAATATACGAATTCCATAGGCGATCGTAACAATTTGTATGCTATGTCTTTATATCGGTTGTTTTACATGTGTTTTATCTCCATATACAGGTAACAATTCTGTATGACATAATGATATGTCATGTGTGTAACAAATCCGAATGGTACATTGTGAATAGAGAGTCGAACCGAAAATTCAAGGAGCTAGCACCAGATCCATATAACCATATCCTGTAATTTTTATATAATAATCAGTTTGCTGATCTGTGCAAACCTCAAACAACTAGGTGCTAATAAAGAATATTAAAGTAATGATATGATGGAATATATATAATACAGTACGTATGAAGAAATCGTGGGTTTCTGAGTAGCTGCCAAATCATAAGACACTGAGCAGTGACTTGTAAACTCTTGTCCTCATTAGGGATTAGTGGGACAGTGAAACATGGGCAGAGAATGTGTCTCACATAGTGCCTTTTCTTTTATAATTATTTTTTAATTTCGAAGATGATTTTGCTAATTAGTCAAAATAAAAGTGATTCAAGAAGAGAAGTATGATTTTGAAATAATTACCTCCCGCATGTATGATGAATTGACACAACTGTGGTATTTTACGTGTGTTTTTACTTTCATACACAAAACGAAGTGATCGTCTGGAATAATGTTTTGAGGAGTTTTCGCATGTCTTCAATAGTCGGGGAGAATGTTTTGTTTAGAACGGCGTCATATTAAAAAAAAAAGCTTATGAAATATGATGGTCGTGAGAGAGAATCTTCCCACGTTGTTAGAACATAATTAAAATCTGAAAATTTATGCATTGCCAAGTTGCAACTAGGAACGTCCCATGACACTTGCGTAGTGCATACATTTTAGAGAGAGATATATGTAAATACATCACATTTATCATTGCATTCATGTACACACAAACGTTATTACATGTAAAGGGACATATATGTGTAGGGACTACTTATGCACTTTTCGGTCAAGAATACATCAATTGTGCATTTTATGCTAAACGAAACAAAATTGAAGCTTAAAGTATATGTACTATTTTGATATATCGCTCTTTCATTATGTTCAATGCCGGCATTGATTGGATTCTATAAGTTAGATCTTACGTACGTTTCATATGGTTAATTTGGTAGTACTTTACATGTTAATATATAATGGACTTATAATCATTGTTCACATTACATATTTCATGTATATGTTTGATATCATCCAAACTAAACACAAACCCTTTTAATTACATATTTACATTCCGTACAATTCTTATATTTTTCGTGTGTGAATTAGACTTTTGGAGATCCATATATCTTAACTGATGCAAGCTGAGAAACTGTGTACTTGCTGTTTAACCTCTAAGTACAATCATTATCGACCATGTAGGAAATTAAAAAAGAAGGCACGGGTTCGTCCAACCAATTAATTGTTGTAGTTGAGCAGCAAAAAAAAGTAGATGATTTTATTTGTCCTAGCTATCAAAAAAAGATCCTCTATATGTATTATTCAAAAGCAGGGAAAAATAATTGCATAAATCTAACTTTATAATATGCTCTTTCATACATACTATTTTCACATGCACCCATATGGGCCTTTACTATCATAATTAACATTTTTATTTTTAATACTAAATATATAGTACCCAAGAAGTACTATATAACAACAATATATACACACATCCAATATATATGAATGATGATGATGATCCCATGCATTATTAAGTATATGCACCCCTCATGATGAGATCATTATTGCGATAATTTGTAGAGAGAAGATGAAGCTGGAGTCCATGTCCATGTGCTAAAGAGCTTTCCCTTTTTTATTCCCCTAAAAATACTTTTGAATGTGATTTATAATGTTTAAAGTTAAAACCGCGAGATCGTATTTACAAAACAGCTAATAATATACAATCATACAATAAATATGGACAAGTTCCACAACAAACCTCTGGATCTGGTTCTATCCATCTCTATGGGATGGATACACAACAGTACAATACAACAGTACAATTAAGGGTCCTGGATCCGGTTATTTCATTTTGAGCCGAACTCAAACCGAACCGGATCTATCCATGCATTGTTTCTAGGCGGGCCGACGATAACAGATTTATCTAAAAAGCCCAAGTAAAGAAAGGGCCCAAATAAAATGAATTCAATGATCAAGTGCTGAATTTAGGGTTTTAGAAGAAATTGAAATTTAGGTTTTATTAAGTGAGAGAAGAGGAGGAGGCGTCGAAGGGTTTTTGGGTATAGTCAAAGGATATGGCGAAATACAACGAGATCGCGAAGAAGAAGAGAGAAGCGAAAGCTGATAGAAAGCGAGCCATTCACGGCGATCCTCGCACCAACAAATTGAAGACCAGAGTTCCTGTCCCTTCCGTCTCCGGTAAACGTCAGAGAAAGCTCCTCCGCAAATGGCGCCGAGTATGTTATTCTTTAGTTTCTTTTGTTATCCTCTCTCTTTTAATTCTTATTAAGAAGTTGGAGAATCAAAACATTAGGGTCACCGTAGTTATTATTTGATTCATGTGAAAACTAATGTTGATGCCTTTTTAAGCTTTGGTTTAGCTTTCTGAATCTGAGTTGAGAAAATAGTTAATCAAAAAGTGTTTTTTGATTCGTCTACAGGAGCAGAAAGATATGGTGGATAAGGGTCTTGTTACCATGGCAGATGTTGAGATGGCTTCTGCTGAAGGTATTAATAAAGCTACTCAGCTTTTGTTGTCTTGATTTCCACAATGTCTAAGGCAAGAATGAAGTTTTGTTGTTAGAAATCTTGTTTGATGCGATTGGGGATCTATCATTTTGGAATATATACTTTGAAATGCTCAGAGATGCAAGTTTAGGATGAAGTTTTGTTATTAGAAACCTTGTCCGACTCGATTGGGGAAATATCAGTTAGGCATTTACTTTACAGTGCTTAGAAATGCAAGTCTATAGTATCATCAATATTGGTGTCTTCATATGTTCTGTATCTTGTATTTCTTTCAAGTTTCAATCTTTTGGCTGTTTTGCTTGCAAAACAGCAGAGAAGCACATTAATTCACAATCTTTCTTTTATATATTGATTTGTGAATTTCATGAAGTTATTCAGAAGCGAGGCTTGTTTTGATTCTAATTACTCTTGTTACTTTATAATTTATTTTGTCTTAGTCAATTAAAAGCTCAACTTTTCCTTCTGGTTTTAGCTGAATCTGAAGACTCCAAGAAATCCCCCAAAAAATTTAGTGTAAAGAAGACCTTGAAGCTCAATAAACTAAAGAATAAAGGTAATCCTTGATTCGTTTTGTAAAGCCTGATATCTCTCATATTTAGCTCAGTCTCTTTTTTATTGCTTGATGCTATTTAGCTGATAATGGAAGTAACAAGTTCTTTTGCCTACTTGTGTTGTTACCAGGCAACAAGAAGAAAAACCAGAAAGCCAGTGGCCAAGGATCTGCTGATCAGATGCTAGAATGAGTGTCGTGGGTTTAATAGAAATTTTGGTTTTTAAGTTTTCCGAATCTTATAGTTTTCTGATTCTTTTTTGTCGTTTAAAAAGATCTTATCTTGTATTCATTCTGCTATGTGCTGCCTTTAAAGTAGAGTTAGATACGGAACAACTTGATATCTCTAAACAATCAATTGCATCTAAAGATATTTAACCTTTAATTCACAGAAACTTTCATATCACTTTACATGCATCTAATTAAATCTCTCAACACTTTTCTTTGCATCTGGTTGTTTTAGGCCTGCCACCGTTCGTAATTAGAGAACAGAACACTTAACTAATCCAAATCTGAACCTAAACTAATTTTATACTCTGTTTTCAACTAAAAATAATTTTAAGTTAACATCTATATTATTCCTAATTATTATAGATATCCAGCAAACTTTTAATGGTACAAATTAGATGGAGTAGTGGTTAATCAACAATCTAAATTTAACACAAAATTTCAAACGAGACAACACATCAAACAGAGTAAGCAATAGATAAACCTTAATATATACTAAACAATATAAAATACCAATTCATAGAGTGCTTCATGGCATTGTATGATAATCCTCATTGGATATTTTATTTACATTAAAGGCCTTTAAGGCAAATAAAAAAACAAACAAAGAAACCAAAACTCTACAGAAGCTGATTGAAGGAGAAAGCTTCCATGCCGCCGAGCACACACGACTTTCCCACTCTCAATCCCATAAGAACTGAGCAAAACTCGAGTAACCATCGGAACTGGTCTTGCTCTAGATAATCCAGATGCCAATAACCGATTTTGCTCAGGGGACCCCAAAAAAAACTAAACCCCACTAAACCGGCTGGCTGCTCCAAGAACTGACATCCTTTTTTTAAGTACTGCAATATATCCAGCTACTACTACTACTACTACCACAGCAAACTGTACATGGAAACGTGTATCCGCTCTCATCTCCCTGCGGAGACCAATGTTTTTCCATCGTTGTTGTTCATGGCCCGAAGAGGAACAGGGAGACTTGGGTTTGAATTAGGAGTGGCAGCTTCTTTCTCAACTGGTACAGGCTTTGGTGTGTAATTGAAGTTGAGTTCTTTGTTGGCAGCAAGTGCCACAAGCTCTTTCTCTTCAAGACCTTTGGTTGGTCCAAGGCTGCACCTATCTGGGCCATGCTTTGCCAATGCATCTCTGAATTTCTTGATCTGAAAACAAAACAAAAAGAAAACAAATCAAGATCAGAATCAAACATAACATGGTTCGGGTTGCTTATCTTTTGATATATAATGTGAATGAGAACGAACCGTGGCATTGGTACAGCTAAAGCTGCAAACACGACCCTGAGAGCCTCGGTAGAATCGGAAAAACGGGAGGACATGGACACCAAGGCTGTAACACATGGACTTGTGCTCCTCGTAATTCACCTGAAGAAACTGGACATCAGGGTTCATCTCTGCAAACTGGCATATCTGCAACAAACTATTCTTGTGAGAAAACTTGTTCATTTACCAAACATGAAAAATAGTCAAATCCAAGATAAGTAGATCGAGGATACCTTAGGATGAAGAGCCTTACAGCCGCCACATCCAGGGGAGAAGAAATCAACAACAACAAGCTTGTCACCAGCGTTGGTGAGAGAGTCAACGAGCTCTTGAGCTGAAGAGATCTCTCTCATGTTTTCTTTCAGACCTTTCTCCCACCACTTCTGCGCTGTCCCAATCCTCAAAGTTGTCTGCAAATTAATTTACACATGTCAGAGACCATATCTTCACAGATCTAAGGAACCAACAGATCAAATTCACAACACAAGAACCCTAAACATTTTAGCCATGTTTTAAAAATATAAAATCGATGATTCACAACCAAATCAAACCAAAAACCCTTCAAAAAAAGACTTTCAAGAATTAAGCTTTCAGGATCTTCAAAATCAGATCTCGCATGTCTGGGATTATAAATTTTTACCTGAGCAGTGATGGAAGATGAACGGAAGCTCTTATTGAAGCTCGGGGGTTGAGCATCTCCTCCGAGAACGATCTGTTTCCCAAGGAATTCACTTTTAAGATTGTTATTAACCTTAAGAAGACAAGAGAAACTCTTCTTCAAACCAAAACCACCAAAACTAACAGGAGAAACAGAGAAATCATCATCAACACGGTGATGATTCCCACAAGCTCCGATGAACAAACTCGATTTGCTAATCACTTGCGCCATGAAATCTTCTTCGTCTTCGGAGGTTAAGAAAAAAAAAGAAGCAATATCTCTCCAGAATTTACCAGAAGAAAGAAAGAAAAGATTAAAGAGAAAGATCTCACAAGAGACGACGTGTCTTCTCAGCAATCTTAAATCGCCAGCAAAGTTTCGCTTCCACCAGAAAAAAATTTATAAAGAAAGGAAAGAGGAAAGGTCTAAAAAAAAAAGGTTAGACATTTTATCTGGACAAGAAACTGTTTGGCTTTTCGTTAAAGTGATCGAGACCGTTCAATTTGGATTTGGCAATTTTAAGATCTGACGGTGGATTCGCGATTACGAGCTTTAGTCGGTCAGGATAAAACTAAAAACTAAATATATGGATAAGGTTCTCTTGACTTCTCGCGGATACATGGACGAGTAAGAATGAATGAACGAAAGATATGAAAAATTTCTTGAAACTTTGAATGGGATTTTATGTATTTTACCATATGTTTTGTGATTTGAATTGCAAAGTCTTAGATTTACGCAATTTTCAGTTATGAGTTATATAGATTGGAGCAACATTGATATCAAAAAAAAAAATTGATGAGAAAAATGTTAGTATTTAAGAAACTAATATTTATGGAAGAAATAAAAAGAGGTTTGTGTATGCTCGTGATTATTAAATTTTATGTGTTGGATATGTAACGAGTAACGACATTCACATAAAGAGGAACAAAGTAGTACTGAATGTGAATAGTGATGGATGGATTTATTACCAAACCATATAAAAAGAAAAAAAGAAAAAAAAAAAAGAAAAGAAGAAGAAGTGATTGGATAAGGAATATATAAATGGGATTTGGAATTGAAGGAAGGTATTTTGCCAACACATCATCATCCACGTGGGTCTCACTCTCCTCCACCACATCTCCTTTATAACCCTTTTTTTTAGTTGTATGTATGATATAATTACATTGAAGGCCACCTCATTATCAATATAATTTCAGATTTGGCCTTTTAGTTTATTAACTTACAGTTCACCTCCTCTTTCTCCTCCTCTATTCCAGTATTCCACATTGCATTAGTGAACTATTAGTAATGTAGCCTAACTAATCCCAAAAGTTAACTCAAGGGAGAAAGGTTACTACATCACATATATATTACTCCAAGAAACTATCCGACCATCGATGTGGAATATTCTTTCATGACAAGTTCGTTCATGACACACCATGTGCAGAACGTTTCAAGAGACGTGAATTGAAGTGTTAACAAACAAAAACTTGTTAACTATTACAACAAATGTGACTAATGTTGACTAGACAAAAAAAAATTGAAATATATTTATTTAATACGATACAAGCGTTACTAAAAATATTTTTTTTTAGTTTTTGTTATCATCATTAAAATGCTCCACAGCTTACTACGTATATATCAACTCGACAGTCACGTGAACGTGATTACAGAGTTGAGTGCATATCAACGTGTAAAACCATGTATTTTTGTTTCAAACAAACTATTTCAAACGTTACATAATAAACTTTGAATTTTTTATAGACAAAACAGACGAAATAAGGTTGTTTCACGTGAAAAAAACGTTACAGTGAAACAGATTTTCAATATCAGTCACCATAAATATATTTAGATAAAAAAACAAAATTCCACCAATATAGAACAATTTTAGTTAAAAGTGCAAAGGTTTTATAATTTGATTGGTCATTTTGAATAATGTAAGAATATGAAGTAGAAGTAGAAGAAGAAAAGCGATACATATTCGAAAATTTAGAGAAAACCAAAAAAAAAACTAGTGAGATATTTTGTGGGAACTGAGCTCTAGTAGTTTACGAAAACAAAATGTTTAAATTATAAAATATCCTAATTTTGAATGGTTCAGCTACTTTTTAATGAGAAACGTAACAAAAGAGACTAATGACATGACCATAGGACCATAGGGTTTCTTTGACTTCTTCCAACAATTTCCAACACGAACCCGCAAAGGCACAAGAAGAACCACACTTTTGATTTAAAATGGTGACAAAAGTGCAACAGCCTGACAGGTGGATGGAATACACAACAACTTGTCCCAGTCTACTCCGAGTCGTCCACAAAAGCGCTGCCGTTAATTACAGTTTAGTCCCCATCTTTTCCTTCACTTTTGAAGTCTGTCTCAATCTCGCGTCGGCAACTATAATTCATGTAATTACGGTATAACCCCCTATATTCTTTCTCTCTTTCGAAATCCTTCCAAAACAAAAATCACCCAATTTTAAAAATAGAAACAAAATTAGATTTGAAGAAAAAAAAGAGAAAAGCAGAGATTGACCGAATGGGGACGAGATGTAACGGATACAAAAGCCCAGAATATAGCCGTTGGGGTCGAAGAAACTCAGTAACGGCTCTTTTCTCCCTTTTCCCTATATCATAAAGCTTTCTCCTTTCTCATCTCCCCCCACACTCATCTCAACAACGCTACTCCTAAATCTTACTAAGCTTCTTCCCTTCTCTTCTCTCTCTCTCTCTCTCTCTCAGAATCCATCTCACATTGGATCTAGAGAACACACAGCGACACAAGGGTATTGTTGCTTTTTCATTCTGATGTTCTCCAGTTTTGCTCTGTTACTTTCTCGATCGTGTGTCTGATTCTTGTGAAATTTTTTGGCTTTCAGGTGAAGAAAAGATGAACGACTTGATGACGAAATCGTTTATGAGTTACGTTGACTTAAAAAAAGCAGCCATGAAGGACATGGAAGCAGGCCCTGAGTATGATCTTGAGATGGCTTCTGCGGGAACAGACAAGGTTGGTGAGAATCTCTCATCTTTCTTAGAGGAAGCCGAGAATGTGAAAGCAGAGATTGGTTTGATTCGTGAGACACTGGCTAGGGTCGAGCAGTACAACGAAGAGAGCAAAGGTGTGCACAAGGCCGAGTCCGTGAAGTCTCTTCGTAACAAGATCTCTAACGAGATTGTGTCTGGTTTGAGGAAGGCCAAATCGATTAAGACGAAGCTGGAAGAGATGGATAAAGCCAACAGGGAGATCAAAAGGCTCTCTGGAACTCCGGTCTACAGGAGCAGAACAGCTGTGACCAATGGGCTGAGGAAGATGCTCAAGGAAGTGATGATGGAGTTTCAAGGACTCAGACAGAGGATGATGAGTGAGTACAAGGAGACTGTTGAGCGAAGGTACTTCACCGTCACTGGAGAACACCCTGATGATGAGATGATTGAGAAGATCATCACTGATAACGCTGGAGGTGAAGAGTTTCTCACTCGTGCAATCCAGGAGCATGGTAGAGGGAAGGTCTTGGAAACTGTGGTTGAGATTCAGGATAGGTATGATGCTGCCAAGGAGATTGAGAAGAGTCTCTTGGAGCTTCATCAGGTGTTTCTGGATATGGCTGTCATGGTTGAATCACAAGGTGAACAGATGGATGAGATTGAGCATCATGTAATGAATGCGAGCCAGTACGTGAACGATGGAGCTAATGAGCTGAAGACTGCAAAGAGTCATCAGAGAAGCAGCAGGAAGTGGATGTTCATTGGTATCATTGTGCTGCTTTTGATCATTCTCATTGTTGTTATCCCAATCATTACCAGTTTCAGCTCTTCTTGAGTTACTTTGTTTAACACCCTTGTGTTTTGCTTCGCCCAAAGGATGTCTTAATCCTTTTGTGTTGTGTATCCAATTTAATGAAAAAATGAATGTTTTACAAAGATATCCAATTGTCTGATATGCCTCCTAATTATTCTAATTGTTGTCACTCCCATTGTTACCAGTTTTAATTCATCTTGAGATACTAGGTTTACAACTTGTGGTTTGGTTTGCTCAAAGGATGTCTTAATCCTTTCATGTTCTGTATCCAATTGTTATGGAATGATGAATGTTTACAAAAATATCACTTTATATGAACTGAACGCAGTATGTATAATTTGGACAACAATGGTGCATCTTCTCTACCTAACCTTTCTGATTGGCAAAGCTTTCCCAAACAATTTTTCAACCTCACTCGCTTCCATTTTTATCTCATCCAAAAACTCCATCTCTTCTTTACTTAACTCTCTCACGAAATTCTCCTCGTCTTGCTTTAATTCATTAAATCCTTCAGCCAATCTCTGGAACAAGGTCATCTCAGTCTTACCGACTTTTTCCACTTCCTTCTCCACTTCTTCTTCTATCTCTTCAACCTCCTTTACGATTATCCTTTCCCCTTCTTCCACTGTCTTCTCAAGTCTTTCCACGAGCGGAGGTTCCGGACCACATGTGTTATCCGTTTTAATAAATGTGCTGAAGTCTCTGCCTATGCTCTTTGCTGCTTTTTCAAGTTCTGGTACAATGCTATTGGGTAATACAGAACTTCTCGTATAAACAACTGCACCACCATATCCATCCCAAGCATCATTTCGCCCACGGTAGTAAACAAAAATATAGTCTTCAGGTTTGTTCTCGATCTTTGATGACAAAATATACCTGCAAGAATCATGTGAAAACTTGTTAGGCCAAAGAAGAGAAGCAAGACATTTCCCTTAGGGTGGATAGAAGATATTATTACCAGTCATCTTGATAGTGGAGGTACGCATTGTCATGATTGTAGAGAACACCAGGCTGATTAGGATCTTGAACAAACGTTTGTACAGCTGACCTAGTAAAGAATCCACTATCTAGGGTCTTTATTCTCCATGAGATGTTTCCAACAAGCTTGTTGTCACCTTCTGTGTGGAACTCATGCAGCTGGCAGTCAAAGGCATCAAAGGTTGGATTCAAGCCACTTGTAATGTACCACTTCCCGTTAAAGTCCCCGATGTTGAAGTTCTGGACAAGAACAGAAGGGTCTGGGGCAGGAAATTCTCCAAGATCAGATTTTCTGGGAACACACTTTTTCCTCGACACAGCACACTCGTTGAACTCATCAACTACACTGTTTTCGAATAGATCCCCACATTTAATCTGAAACAAAACATATAATTTTGAAAAATAAAATCATTGGTCTCGTCTCTCATAAGCAAGCTATATCTCTGCCTCAAAATGATATATCAAAATAACTTAATAACCTGGCACTCAGTTTCATCTGGACGGTTATTACAAGTCTGGAGGCACGCAACGTTGGCTGCACACGCAGGGTTGGCAATGCACTTTGCGAGTTCTATCCTAACAGATAATTGAGCTTCCATATGGTCAGACAATGAAAGAGATGTATAAACTTCAGAGGAGTACTGCTTCAGAAACCCAAACGAAGAAAAGGTACCTGCATCCCTCCAATAAGCATGCACAAGTTTTGAGTGCGTCAACTGCTTCTGCAGATGGAACTATGAGGAAGGCACATGCTAAAACACCAACGAGTTTAAGCAGCAGTGGAGTGCTCAGCTCCTTCAGTTCATTTTTCGATGGTAATGACACAATGTCAAATACTCTCTGACATGATTGAAGGTACAGTTAAAAGGAATCAGCTGAACAATCCTTGAAATAAAAAAATTTGTAATGAACACACAAAACTTGGATTAGATTGATTACCTTAGAGAATCCTGACCTGAATGCAGATAAGGGACGTGAAGATCTCCCAGAAGTCCTAAGATCAGCACTTTGGATAGGGGACAAAATCTTGACCAAGAATGTGCCATTGATCCTCTTTCTTGAAATGCCAAGCCTAGCAATACCATCATCACTTGAGAAAAACCGAATACGGTCATGACAAGGTGAAGTGAAACAATGTGTAGCTACTGCCATGCTTCACTATCTAATCTTCCCCAGGCACTACCTGAACCATACCAAAATGTCACATTACTCTCTCTATCTTTTCTTTCCCACATATATAATCTACAAATCATGAACAATAAAATTGACTTGATCATTTGAAATCATAAAACGTTGGTGAATTCAGCTCGTAGACATAAACATGGGTTGTTCAGGCTGAATTAAAGACAATTCAAAGAAAAAACAGGAAAAACAGAACAAAGCTGAAAGATTGTGATTTTGGGTGTTGAAAATTTGATACTCAGAGAGATATAAGTGAAGAAGAGAGTAACCTGAGAGAGAGAGAGACGATGTAAGCAAAGATTGAAAGCTCCGTGAGGAAGAAGAGAGACAGAGACGGAGAAGATATTAAGGGGAATGCTTTGGCCTTTGGATAAGACTCGGAGACTCTTCTTCCGTGTGGTGTGGGAACGACGCCTCCCTACTCGACTTTTCTTTTTTTCTTTTTTTTTGGCGTCAGCCTCTTAGCCGATTCCCTTCTTTTTTTTTTCTTTTGGTTCTGGACAGTTTGTTTTCCTGAAATATCTGTAATATTTGGATATTTTTCACAACATTATGTGATAAACTATCACTTGTGTTTTTTAATGACAACAAAAAATCTTTGTATTTTTCGCACGTTATAAGATTTTATATGTGAATGATATTTTTGGATTTAGTATTTTGTCAATAATGTATTTGCTAACATGCACGATTCCTTTATTTTAATTTACTTTTACAAGTACTAATAACTTAACTTTAAATAGTTAAGACGTTTTCACTTGACAATCACCTTCTTTGGATAGACAACGTGTAGCTCTACTGGTCACAAGTATAGTCAAATGCTATAAGAATAATTTATACTGCTTGCGAAATGTTTATACTCGGAGTGGGTTCTATGCACAAAACATTCCATTTTCAAGAAAGATTAAAACTTTATGATTGTGCAACCAAGTATTGCTGCAAATGGTTGCTTCTCTTTTTGTTCTTGAGTTTCCTGAATGCAGAGGACTCTATCTGCCTCACTCTCTCCCTGCTAACTCCCATCAACTCTCCGATCTCTTGCAATGTCTTCATTCTCCCGTCCTCCATCCCAAATCTCCAGCGTATCACTTGCTTCTCCCTCGTTCCCAACGAGTCCAACACTTTGTCTAAGTCTTCCCTCATGAACTGCTTTATCAATATATCTTCTGATGTTTCTGCTTCAGGATCTGCTATCACTTCCTGCATATTTTTACACACACCCATTTTAGGTACATTTTTTGACAAACAAGAACACTATGTTGTATGGCGTGTTGTGTCGTGAGGACATACCGAAGGTTTGAGGTTTTGATTCATTCCAATCTTCTGGTCTAGCGATCTCGGAGGTTTAGGAGAGAGTAAAACCGCCATGAGCCTCTTCATCGACAGCCCTGTTGCCTCTGCAACTTCTTCGTTCTCTGGATGCCTACCCTTTTCAGTGTACAATTGCTTCCGTGCCTCTTTCACTCGATATGTAGCCTCTACCATGTGAAACTGCCAATCATACCATAAAAATTTGTGTGATCAGGCAAAGACCCGGACCTTGTTTAAACATTTCAAAAGAAAACATTTGGGATAACTTACAGGCAATCTTATCATTCTGGACTGATCAGAGAGAGACTTCCTCACTGCTTGCTTGATCCACCAATGCGCATAAGTTGAAAATTTAAAACCTTTTGTAGCATCAAACTTCTCTGCTCCCCTCACAAGCCCTCTGCACCCTTCCTGTGAGCATTATGATTTCAGCGTTACTTTTGTTAGCAAGATGTTCAATACTATCAGCTTCATCAGTACTGCAACAGGTGTAACTATTACACAAAATAAGGAAAGGAGGCTCAAACCTGGACAAGATCTTGGAGGTTCATCCCAGCTCCTTGATAATTCTTTGCAATCGAAATAACGAGACGGATGTTGCTTTTAATCATTTTGTCTTTGCATTGCGTGCCATAATTTATACGTTTCCTCAAAGATTTTTGATCGACTCCAGCAGCAGAAGCCCACTGTGAAAAGGTTGGCTGACGGCCACAACGTTCAGTAAGCTCTGCTTGAAGTCTTTCTAACTTCAGAAGGTCCTACACGTATGACCCAAAGTGTGTGAACAAGAAACCATAAAAGAAAGAAAAATTACAGAGAAGAAAAAAAAAAATGTTTAAAACTGAAATAGACCATTGTTGATTCTTTCAAAGCCAAACATCTGATTCCCATTTACTATCAATGCCAAAAAAAAGTGGTGAAGGAGGGAGCTCTATCACAGGAAAAATAAAGTGAAAAAATAATTTTGAGACACGCCTACCAGGGTAGGTCAGCTTTCATAGAAATTCAGATGATATAATGGTTATAAAGCACAAAGAACCGACCTTGGATCTACAATCTAACAACTAATTTCATCATTCTTAAAACATTTTAGTTTTGTAGACATTGTTTACCCCCAGAATCTAGAGTCCTAAGAAGGGTGAGATTTATAGTGTACCAGGCGCAAAGTAGAGAAAGGGAAGTGGTTATGTTGAATTTAGAATGTTATGACCAACCTGTATTCCTGCAGATAGCTCATGTTCTTCTCTGACAGTGAGTAGCTTGGAACTGCTTGTTGTCACTCTAAGATAACGCAAAGGATCATTATGGTCAACTTCTTGAGCAACAACACGTTTCTTTCTAGGGCTTGAACCAGTCTTCACAGACGGAATAGCTGATGCAGATTTCTCTAACCCTTTTGCCCGCCGAGCTTTCCTTTCAGTTTGGCGTGTAGATCTCACAGCTAAACTCGCTGCAGGTTGCTCCTCCACAAGCTCAACTTCTTGTATTTCTGATATTAAATCAGCAGATGACTCTTTGTTAGAAGCAGGTGCAGTGCTTTTATCACTCACAATTCCAGTGTCTGAAACCGCTAGATGTCCCAATATGCCAGCACGTTCCTTCTCTGTAAACTGATCCCACTTGGATCGTTTGTCTGCCGTTGAAGAAATTAATAGGTTCGTGTTGTTACTGTTCTTAAATAATGTGGCATCTTTCGCAACTTTGACAGCAGCTCTTGCAAGGGCGACTGCTTCAGCTGCTGCTGCCGCAACTACAGCTTCATCACTGGTGAGCAGTGTTTCAGAGGCTAAAGCTTCTAAATATTTTGCCTACAAATACAAGAAATTTATCAAGAGGACTTCAAATCACAGCTACAAATATCAGAACGACCAAAGTTTAGTTTTTTATACTATCAAGCTGACGAACCAGCGGTGCCACAGAGTTTTCATAGAAAAGAATTGAAAAATAATCTCATTGAAGCTTTGGGAACCATTATTAGAATAGACAAACATTTCTGACCTCAGTGGAAGGACCAACGGTTCCTGTATAAGTCCATTGCCTGTCTGATATTCGGGAATCTGAATCAGTATCGAAAGAGGGTAGTCTAAGCTTCGCCACATCAAGCGTAGAAGTTAACAACGCCGGAGAAGTAGTTACTGCACATTGCGGTTGGAAGAAGACTGGACCCTTATTTTGCTTTGCTGCATTTTCCATCACATAACATCCGCTTATATGTGAGCATTTGAGTAATGAGATACCACATTGATTAGAATGACATGAAACATATGAGACATTTGCCCATTTTCATGAAAATGAGTTATTATAATCAGAACAACAGATGAGATTCTATAACCTTACCAACTAGATCTTAAGATTGGCTACTATTCGATTCAAGGATTTCATAATCAAACAAGTAATGCAAACTCTAGCCTACAACAATCAAGCGGATAGAGACTAAAAACTGTAATTTCCAGGTCAAGGCTAAACTACAATTACATACCGATCTGAAAATATTCAATTTACACTGGGAATTGGGTCTACAACAATCCTTAGTATCTCAGCTCCAACATAACCATACATCCATAATTTTGGATATTCATTACTACTACATTCTTCAAATTAATATGAAACCACTCATGGATTTCGATTAAAAAATATATTCTCTTTAAGCACCTAAGGCATTCCCAAATAGTAAGAAACGTAACTGAAGGACAAGAACAGAGCAACTGCAAGGAAATGAGCATTGAAGGAATTACAGCTAAAGCATCAAAAATCACATCAACATAACAGATAATCCAAACAAAAAAGTTATGGATAAAACTATCTGGAATCCGAAATTGGAGGAGCAATACAGAATTGGCCATGAGAATGTGAAAGGGAGAGAGAGAGAGGGAAGTACTAACAGACGGAGAAAGAGGTTCTGAAGTGAATAGAGAAAGAATCAGGTTGGCACTTGAACTGAGGAAGAAGACAAGAAGACATGCTCGTTCTTGGCTAAGTTCGAAAGCCAAGTCTGACCATTGAAGGCCGTTGAAGAGATTATACAGAGAGAGAAAGGTGTGAGAAAACTGGTGATGGCGGATGAACAAGACCGGAAAAGGATAAAGCTTGTCTTCTGACTTTCACTTTCTTTTGGGCCTAATCACTTTGTTGGCCCAATCTCACCTTACCACATTATTACCCGATTTACATAGTCCAATGTTTTTTTTGTTTTGTTATATTTCTTGTCTTGTCGGCTTGATAACTGCTGCTCTTTAATCTTTAAGTTCTATCTTCGATGTCTTGTGTTTCTGTTGTCTTACTACAATACGATGAAGTAAAACTCACCAGTTATTTCTTCTTTGTGTCTTACACATCAGAATTTCACAAATATACCAAATGCTACAAAAAAGACTTGTTCATAGATTCTATGTTTCCCTAAATGGACTTTACCTTTTCAAACAAAAACGGACCAAAACACAGTCAACTTAAAAGCTTCTAAACGTCTAATGAATCTTCATCCTTGCCTCCGCCGCTTATAATGTTCATTAGTCTCTTGGTTGCACTGCCGATTGCTTGAGAAGTCTTCTCGGCCGCACCAGCCACAACAGGCTGCAGCGATATTTCTGGTAAATTTGCTCTCTCTTCAATCATTGCTGAATCAAGTTCAAGGTCAACATTAGGTCATCACATCTGCTTCTTATTGAGCAAAGTTTAACGTTGCCACCATGAACAGAGTCAGCCAAAAGGAGAGCTTTTAATACCAATTAACAAAAGATTTAGAAGCTTACAGAGAGTTTGTTGTTGTGCAAGTGTTCCAATCTGTTTGATTCCAGCTTCAGCTGCTTGAACCGCTTTAGCTGATTTGTTTACCCCATCAGCTATATCTTGGCTGAAACCATGTACATAGTGATGATACAGATAAAGTTTCTTATTCCGGACAGACGGCAATTCTGAGTAACTTGTTTTGAAACGAGTTGAGATGATCATAACCAATGAAAGTCAAAGAAATATGAGCTTTAGTGATCACCTTAAATCGCTCAATTCAAGAGTAAGATCACTTATTTCCATGCCGGAGAGCCTTACGGCTGCCAATGTACTAGGGAGTTCTTTGCGAGCTGTGTCAGCTAACTTCGCAAAGGAAGTTGCAGCTCTACCCATGGCCTAAAGGTGGGTAAAACAACATAGGACATATTGAGTAGATATCAATCAAAGAGAAAAGAAACATAATGAGCTGAAATTCACCATGCTTTGTTAATCCAAATCCAAAAGAGAAACAATCATATAGCTGAACCAAAGCTAGGACACATACAAAGAAGACTGAAGTGTGGAATTCAACAGTTACCTATGTGTCACAGTTTTTCATACTAAATCCATTTACTAAAGCTTTGAAAATGAGTGATGAAGCATTACATCCCAGGGGAGAGATAGCTGAAGCAAAAGGACTAAGTTTCCAAGTGGTAACAAATGTGGAGGCTTACCACAAGTGTAGGAATGGCTGCAATCACAAGACTTGTAAAAGCCACTGAAGTCTGTAACAGAGTACCATCAAGATATCAAAAAGCCTAAGCCTTTATCAATGAATCAACAAAAAAAACGGTCAAAACAAAACACGAGGCAACACTCCTTTACCGTGCAAGTGATGAAGGCCAAGAGAAGAAACGCCTGATCACTCAGACTCAGCTTGGCTAATGGATTCATAGAATGCAGAGAAATAGGGCTGCCCACTTGCATCTTGAGGTTATTAAGCGAATGGCCTGCAAAGACACTAATCGATGGCCTAGACATTCCACCATGGGAGGAATCCAATGATTCCTGAGAACTTGAAGGGTTTGAAAAACAGCAACTTGTTGGATGGGATAAGTAGAGCGAAGCTGGAATCTTGAGGGCAAACCGATTCGAGCTTGTTCGAGAAAGAGATAAAAATGGAGATGAACGAATCAATGAAGCTGTAGAAATCGAGCAAAGAGATTTCATGTCTTTGGGGAAAGCTCAATTTGGTTTCCTCCTACTGCGCAAACTCTTCGTTCCTTCTCTCCTCCAATTCCCAAGTAGGTAACTCCGGTTTTCTTTTAATTCGGTCCAGGCCGGTTTATCCGCCTCAAAATTACCACCGAATTCTATAGATGGATGCTGTGTACGGTTTAGTACAACCCGAGATTGTACCGGTTATCTTCTTCACTCTTTGTCTCTTTCTCACTCTGCTGTATCCTTCCCTCTATTCTTCCTTCTCTTGACCTCCACAACTTATAAATTCTACCGTAATGTTTATTGCTAAGTTAAAATATGCTGTCGTTTATAACAGTGATCATCAGATCAGTTGACAATTAGACCGACCGAATAAATTCGGAAATTTATTGTAAGAATACATACATGTTAAAACAAAATTTCATCTCTTATAAACTTCAGGTTTATGTTTAGTGACTGAACTGTGTTGCACAATTAGAATATACACTGCGATTCAGAATCATACAACCAAGTATTGCAGACAAATGAGGTCAAGAATTCTTCAGATCAGACAGTGCATCCCTCGTGGTGGCCGAGATAACAGCATCCGAAGCATTTGGCAAGTAATAATATTTTCCTGCGCGGAACAATCAAAACACAATGTTGATTATCGTCTGCTTCATCATATATACAAAACATATCTCAGAAAAATTTGCAGAGAGACCAAACCTTGAGCAACTCTTGCGATCTCCTTGGCAAAACCAGTTGAAACAAACTTGTTCTCAGTATCAATCACTAGAAGTGACATCCCAGCCTTGTAGATCTTCCCTGCAACTTCCAGAATCTCATCCTAAACAACACAAAAACCCGTAATTATAATCACTGCATCAAGGACAGAGAGCTCGTTCCTATCCTGCTGCACTTTCATGTTTTCCGCAGAATCTGTTTACCTTCAATTCTTTGGACGTGGGTCTAGGAGCATCTGCAGCAATAGAGTCCGGATCAGTTGATCTTTTCAGTGTAATGTTGGCTCGACCATCAGTTATTGCAACAATCATTATGCGCCCGACATCACCACTCTTCTCTGCGTTAAGTCCCACTCTTACCGCCTAATATGATTATAGTTGTTATTATTGTTATGCTAACCCACAATAATGATGAAAAGACCACCTAAGACGTTATTATACTAACAGACCATTATATTTGACATACCGTTGTTAAACCATGCGCAAGCGGGGAACCACCACCACAAGGAAGTCTCTCAAGACGATTTCTTGCCATTGCAATTGATCTCGAAGGGGGTAAAAGCACTTCCGCAGCATCCCCTCGGAAAGGAATAATCGAAACCTAAACCAATCACTGGTGTATAAATTTCATCTGAAGGCTCAAGGGATTCATTCAAACTAGAAACAAGCTCCTTTACTATTAAAAAAAAAGTAATCATTACCTGATCTCTGCTAGTATAGCTCTCTGCCAGTAGTTTGAGTGCGGCACCTTTGGCGTTTTGCATACGATTCAATGCCATACTGCCACTAGCATCAACCACGAAAATAACCTGCCATACAACAATGGTCAGACAGAAGTGTAATCAGATAATATCTATGTTTTCACTGAAGCTTGCATCAAGGAAACTGTTTAATTTATCATGCCAACCATCTTTGTTTTTAAAATATAAGTGTGAATGATTTTGTATCGAGGAAACTATATACACACAATCTTTTAGAAGAATGTATGGACAAGGTTCAATACCAGGGCTCCAGCTTTCCGTGCCATTCTTTTGGCCCTCATATCTGGCTTCTCAACAAAAACTTTCCTAGTTCCTGATATATCCTTCTCTCTGCGCAATTTCTGGTATGGTGCAGCTGCTCTAAGGGTTGCATCCACAGCTAATCTTTTTACTGGACCCTGTCAACGTAAGATTTGTTAAGGACTATGCATGTTTGGGAGCCTGATCACTTCTATTTACCGCCTCAAGCGACTATTTGAGAGCCTTGCTAGATCATATATATATGAATATTGATCCAAGGAAAGAGACAAGGCTAAATCAACGACATCTCTCTACATTTGATTCAACTAGACAAATTGAGATTGACCTCGAGGGCAAACCTTTGGAAGCATTGGCTTTATATAGCGTCCTCTATCTTCTGAGAATATGACGTTCTTCGCTCTGCCAGCTTTGCCCCGACGTTTCTGGGCTTGTTGAGCAAAGAACAGGAGTTTCTCATCCACCAGACCCCCCTCAGCGTCAAATATAAACTCATCAGGTATTTGGTCCTGTTGCTGCTCATTCTCATTTTCTTCATTGTTTTCTTCCTACATTGGTCAATGATTTATACTTTAGAGAATCTTGTTCGTGTGTGCAACGAGAGACAATAATGTGTACCGCATCCACTAACCTCTTCCTCTTCTTGTTCTTCTTCATTTTCTTCTTCTCCAGATTCACTATTTTGTGGAGGAGGTGGAGGAGGTGGTGGGTTGTTTTGCTGTTCAGGTGGAGTCTCATCTAGTGATGAACGAGGAAGAATGACCAGTTCAACCTATTGAAAAATGGACCACATTTGCTGATCAATAACTGGAGAATGATGCAAATACTCCATCAAATCATCATAAAGCGTCGTTTTACAATGCTAATTAAATTTCTTACAAAGATGTTCAGCTACAGACAAAGGCAATACTTAGCACGCACAAAAAAAAAAAAAAAAGACAAAGGCAACATATAAGGAAAGTGGAAGTAAACGTAGAAAGCTACATGAAATTCAGAGAAAAGGCTTGATATAAAGGGACTTGTTACAAAAGAAAATTGCTAAAACTTCATCAGACTGATTGGCGAACCTCAAATAAACAAACTCACTAATAATTCTCTAACAAACTCGCTAAGATACTTTGACACTATAGAAACTCATAACAGTAAGCTTAAAGGTAAGAAGTAAAAACATATTACATATTTTCATTTTAAGTTTTTTAAAAAGAGATAGATTCTTTCGAAAACCTGAAAGAAAAGCTCTTCAGTTGAGATCAGATCAAGTAGGCACTTGAAACATTAGCAAGAAAGGAATATAAGATATGTTAGAGCATCAACCTCTAAACCCTAATGACTAAGTCTAACGAGGAAATCTTTCTGCCAGAGAACATATACGTTTAAATGAATGAGCTAGAGAAGAGTACTTAACTGCCTTTCTGAGGTCATCAATTGTGACTTTTTCTCGCCCTTCAATTGCAGCTAAGCACTTAGCCACACGAGCTGCATATAATTCGGCGCGGTGTCCCTGTACCATTATATTGGAAAGGAGTATTAAACGACTTCCAGGTAGTCATCGAGAAAAACTAGACGATTATAATTAACTACCAATTACTCCAAACAATAGTCATATATGATCATAACATGGTGAAATATCACAATCACGCAACAAAAGCACTTGATGCCTTCTTTATCCAGTATTTTATATAAATCAACTCAGCTCTATCTAGATGTACCTTTCAGCCTGTGGTGAGCATTTCTTGCATTTCATCACTTACTCATTTGTTACTGTTTAAGGACTATACTAGTTGAAGTCTATAATCGTGACATTATCTTGCATGCATCTTGTCTTTTCTTTTCGTGTTTATCCTTATTTCTCCAGGAATACATTACTATAAGTTTAGAATTTTGCTCAATACCTGAACACCACCTCGGACAGCTTCCAAAACCAGATACTTCAATTGCTCTCTACTTATCTTGACATCTTTTAAATATTCTCTAGCCAATATAATCTGCAGTCAGAAAAATGCACTCGATTATGACAGAGAAAAGTGGGATAAGAAGCATAGCATCACACCCAACTTTTGCTATTGGGGCCCTTTTTCTTAATTCAGTTGAAGATACCTGCGTCTTTGCTGTTTCTGTCTCCTCGTTGACCATTTTAAAAACCTCATTACAGCGTTCCTGGAACTGTGTGGCAATTCCCACAGCTGCGACGCGATCCTCAAAACTCATAGGAAGGTCTGCACTGCAAACGTCAACATCATGATGTAAAAAGAGAAAGAATATGGAATTATCAAAAAGAAACAGACAATATCTTTTTACACTCGGATGCATAAACTTTAGAAATACCTTAAATTAATGGCAACACGGTCTAGCAAGTGCTCTCGAACAGCACCTTCTTCAGGGTTATAGGTCGCAATTAAAAGTGGCTTGCACGGGTGTCTAAAACTTATTCCTTCTCTTTCAACTATATTAACACCATCCGTCAATACATTGAGAAGCAAATTACTAATTCCCTCATCCAAGAGATTTATTTCATCAACGTACAACACCCCTCTATGTGCTTCAGCCAAAAGACCAGGTTGGAAAACAGTTGTCCCTCTTTTAACAGACTCCTCAACATCAACAGACCCAATGAGTCTATCTTCTGTGACTCCTAGAGGGATCTGTGTATTACGAATGAGAGAAAAGCCTAAGAAATAAGAAAACAATTTCCAGGAGAGTTGTAATGGGTCCTAAAACTAGATGTACCTGAATGAAAGGAGATTTGACAATCTCAGTCTTAATAGTTTTGTCAGCATTGTACTCTATTCGCTCATTTAAGTCGTCTTCCCACCTACATGTACCACAAAAGGTACAAGCCAGCAGAGTGTGAGTTGAGAAGAGGTTGTAATAAAAAAAAGAAGAAAAATAGTTCCTTTATTCAGGTTGTAAGATACATACTCATCTGGGCAGGCAGGGTCAGCATTTGATATTGAGCCTACAACAACTTCTATAGGAGGGAGGATTTCATGTAGCCCTCGTGCCATGATTGTTTTTGCAGTGCCTCTACGACCTGAAATAGCAATCCCTCCGATTTCACGATCAACAGCACCAAGTAAAAGAGCAGTCTTTATGCCTTCCTACAAACAACATTAGTTGAAGCAAACAAAATTATATACTCTGTGAGGCGTTTATATCTAAGAAGCTGAACAAACATATGTAATAGTCCCATAACACAGTTCACTGATGAAAAATTGATCCTTTCCTTAAACCCAATTCAGCTAAATCAAACCAATTTCTGTAAACGATACAAATGTACAAGTTTCGACGATTCTGCAACTTAGAGAAACATCAAATTGGAAACTCACAGACCTGGCCAACCACAGCGGCCAAAGGGAAAAACTGACGGCCATAGGAGGTGTTCTCCTCCGTCTCCGTCTCTAATGTCGACGCGACGGCACCGTTAGGGGATTCGACGGTAGCACTGGCGGAGGCACGTACAGTGAAGCGGCACGACGCGGCTCTGTTACGTTTGGTGAGGGGGAGAAATGGAGGCTTATGTACGAGATCAGGGAGGATATTGCAGCGGAAGAGACGGCACGTTGAAACTGGTGATGATGCCGCGACCGGAGTCATCGCCATTTTAAAAGATAGAAGAAGAAGTAAAGAAGAGAGTGTCTTCTACTCTGTATCGACCTTATCAGCTTATTTCACTTCTATCCTTGGGTCTCCTCATCCCTTCCTGATTGCTCCTCTATCCAATATCCATATTAGAGATTTCAATTAAAAATGTCTTTAATTATTTTTTTATCATCGGAAAAATTTCATTATTATTATTTATTTATAAAGGAGTATTATTATTTATTAACCGAAAAATAATATTAAATAAGAATTATAATGGATTTATGAACTTTAAATCTTATGAATAAGAAGTAGAAAGCCCATGAACAAATCTTTGGATAAGAAAATCACAAAATAATTTTAAAATAAATTGATTACTATTATGAATGAGAATGAGACTTGTGAAAGTATGAGAATGGTTGGAGTTTTTTTAAAAAGTTTAAGCATTATTTGATACACGAATTGAATGCAAAGCATCCTAAAATTAATGAGTCACTCGTAACCAGAACTAGACTTATATGCAATAATCCATCAAATTATTAACAATCACAAATTAAGTCTCTGTTCAATATTATATTAATTCTCAAAATGCAAACGTTCTTATATACTTTTTTTTTTAATCCTAAACATCCTAGAGTCAGTATATAATAATGATTAATGAATATTGGAAATGAAACTGACGGATTTAAATACATGTGTTTTGTTTGTTTATTTAAGATTTTGTCCTAAAACAAATCAGACAAAACACGACGAACACGGAATTATCAAGGCGACTGTTTGTTTCTCCTGACATAATTTTTTGACTCGTCTCCAAACAAATGAGGAGTTCAAATGAGAGAGAGTAATCGTAAATATTAACCAAAGACAAAGTGATATTATCAATGAAGGGATATACAAAAAAAAATATAGTCAAAATACAGAATAATGGAGAATGGTTTACTAGGCTGCTGCTCTTCTAGCTAGCTCAAAGGCTTATGTTAGAATTGTTCCAGGTCAAAATACGCTTCCCTCTATTTTGAAACCTCTTGGAATTAGTGTTAATTAGAGCGTCTCCTACAAGTCAAAGTAGCAACCGTTACTTATATATATGCATCTAGGGTTTACCAGTAGTGTGCATCTCCCACACGTCTCTCGCGGTAACCATCTAATTTCCCTGATAAGTGTTGTTAAACGTCTATTGATATCATGCATGTGTCTGGCTCATTTGATATTTTTTATAAAAAAAAGAAACCACGAAGATAATTAATAAGTAAACAAGAGATAACGGATGTGGTGGTATAGATGATTCGCCAACCTACTAGTTATCGTAAAGATCGGCAATATCTTTCACATCGTAGTCAACTACTCAACTCCATGAACATGGTCCTCAATATCTTTTGCAAATTCCCTTATAAAACAATCATATACGACGCTACCAATTTGAAACGCTCGGCGCAAAAATAGATGCGCTAGCTCAAGAGATAATTAAGAGCGCATCTCAATTCCAAACAGGCAAGTGATATATAGTCTTGTTGGGAAATAAGTCAATCAAAACAATTGGGTTGGTTATTGTTTCGACTTGTCAAGAGTAGACCCACGTTTGAGTGTACGTATTACGTTTTCGGTGGAATAAATTTCCAAGTCCGTCGGCTGACTACGTTCGAGAAAGAGATATATATGGTTAAACTAAAAAAAAAAAGAAAAAGAAGAAGAAGAGAAAAATGTAGTAAAATGGTAGGTTAAGGATTAAAATTACGTAATTAAAAGAGAGAAACAAGAAAGAGAAAGAGATAGATGCACATCAGCACATGTACCTTGTTGTCTCAGCCAACTTATAATTACAACACAGCGTCGGTGCCAGTATTGGGACAACATAATCTGATATGCGTCTTTTTCTCTACCATTACGTTTACACTTACGTACTTGATTGGCCCCGATTGTTTTATACAAAAAAAAAAAAAAAAAAAAAAAAGTTTATTGAGTCCAAGGAAATTTCCACGGTGGAGCAAATCAATCAAGTTTTGCGTGCTAAATGAAATTCAAAGAATTTCGAGTCCATCCAAGGAATAAAAATTTAATAAAAGGGCCTAATTAGGTTAACCAATCTTGTAACAAGAAAAGGGCAAAACGGGTAGTATCGAAAACCAAAGATGTGTTGTGTGTTGTTGTTGTTTTGAAACTACTGTATACTAGAAGAGAAGAGAAGAGAGACAACAATATATATATATATATTGGGATGTGTATATAAAAGCTCACACTTATATCCAATTCTAATATATTTCTCTCTCACCCACTTTGTAGACTTTTCTTGGCCCTTTTTTTTTTTTCTCTAAAATCGCCAAAATTTACATTTTTTTTTTTGTTTGTCATTCCCAAAAAAAAAAAAAATTTAGAATCGTAAAAAACCTGAATTTGCAAAAAAAACATTTGACAAGAAAACAAAAAACAAAAGTTTTAAACAAAACAAAGCGGAAACAAAAAAAAAAAGGAGGCAGAGGAGATCGTGAGAGACAGGGAGGCTGCCGAAGAAAGGAGAAATTTAGGGTTTGGAGAGACTTTGCACCAATTTGGCGTTTCGTTTTTTTGTGGTTTTCTCTTCAATCATTTCTCATCTGCTCTTTTCATTCTGGGTAAGATCCTCTCTCTCCCTCTCTCTCTTTGTTTTTTTTTTTTTGCGCTCTTCTTCTTCTTCTTCTTCTGAATCTCTGTGGTTTGGATTCGTCATCTGATTGCTTTCAAATTGATGTTTTATTGTTAGAAATCTGACATTTGAATTGCATTTTCTTAATCTGTGGTTGATTTATTTGTTTGTTGGGGGGGGGGGGGGGGGG